TCAGATACATAATGGAAAAAAAAAATCTCATAAATATTCGTAAAGGTCTTGGCAGAGCTATATTTAAGGTCCTTCTCTATTTTCTTTTACATTATTTATCTGACATTGAGGTTTTATTGGTGTAAGAAATTGTGTTTACTAATATTATTTTACAGTTACAGAAAATTCATGATGCCAATGACCCTTAGATGGGAAGAGGACGGCAAGGCAAGCCTCTTACAGTTTAATGTGTCTCTGTCATCAGATTTTTACTTTGTACCATCATAAAGCACTTTAAAAGCCATACATTTCTGTTGATAATTTTAAATGGACATTTAATTGACACAGTGTGCAAGAATCAATCTGCAGCTAGAGTTTAACCCCTTAAGGACACATGACGTGTGACATGTCATGATTCCCTTTTATTCCAGAAGTTTGGTCCTTAAGGGGTTAAGGTCAAACAAAAAAAATTCATCATGTCTGTTTTTTGCACAATGTTTTTCATAACTGTAAAATGCATGTGTAAAATGTGTGTGTTTTTAAAGAAAATACAAAAATGTCGAAAAACATATCCCTACCCCCTTTTTTCCATTCTGAGCCAGAAAAATCTACCAGGAAATGCACAATTGTGCATTTTCCTCATTCTGTTAAACATGAAATGCAACAGAGGTTTAACCCCTTAAGGACCAAACTTCTGGAATAAAAGGGAATCATGACATGTCACACATGTCATGTGTCCTTAAGGGGTTAAAGAAACACTATAGGATCAGGAATACAAACATGTATTCCTGACCCTATAGTGCTAAAAACACATGTACGGTCCCTGCCACACCTCCCCCCTCTTAAATAATAAGAAAACTTACCTTATTCCCAGTGCCGCTTGGTTCCTCCGGCGCTGGTCACACCACTGATCCACCTCCTTGGCTGACATCATCTGAATTGATGATCTCAGTCAATCACAATGCTTTTCCATAGGAAAGCATTGGGTTTGCTAAAATTGCTAATTTTAATGATCTCAGACAAGGAGAAGAGGGGGGCAAACACCACCCTAGCCTATCATCATCTCCTCAGAGAGATGCATTTGAACCCAGAAAGAACCTCTAGTAGCCATCCGAGGAGTGACCATTGGAGGTTTCCCTTGGGAGCAATATAAACACAGCCATTTCTCTAAAAAGAGAGTGTTTGTGGCAAAAAGCCTGCAGGGACTGACTATACTCATCAGAACAACTACATTATGCTGTACTTGTTCTGGTGATTATAGTGTCCCTTAAAGAAAAATGTTTATAGAAACAAATGAGTATAGACACTCAAGCAGCACAATCAGAGTGTCACTCACACTGTTTTAATTATTATAAAAATGGATACAAACTGATCATGCTTGCGAAAACACAGTCATCGAACTTATCTGAATTGAAGAATTACTGAGCATGTGAATGTGTTTCAAAATAAAGGTGCCAAAATATTAATAGTAATAGATAACTCTGTATAGTAAGCTACATGATACCATACAAGAACAACCTATCTTCTTGGGATGAGATGATTGGAGTTTGAACACTCAGGAGTCTTACTCTCAGTCCTAATATATGTCTCTGTTCCCATCATCCTCCCTCTCTCTTCAATGCAGGGCCAGCGCTACCATAAGGCGTCACAGGCAGTCGCCTTAGTGTGCACAGTCCCGGGGGCGCAAATGTCCGGGTGACCGGTAGGAGGGTGAAGAGGTAAAGATGCATTTTTGGGGCAAAATGCATTTTTGCCTGTGTAGCTAAAAATTATTTTACCGACCCTGCTTCAATGTTACACATGCTCTCTCTACACTCATCTTTATACCTTACCCTCTCATGTTTTCCATGTTTTTCTCCTTCCATTGACCTTCGATATTGCTATTGCATTATTTTTTATGTTCAGAGACCCCATTGTCTGATCATTGATCAGAAAAGTGATGCAAACACAGATGTTAATGGAATCAGTAGGAACATTCCATTGGTGATTACTCTAGTTTCAAAACGTTGCACCAATTGTCAGAGCATAGCACGTGGAAAATGTAGGCCATAGGCAGGGTGCAGGCAAAATACTGCTTGTAACAATATTGTCTACCCATTAACAACAGTACAGGACTGTATTTAGTTAGAAAGCAATGGCATGTTCAAAGTTTTGATCCACAATTGAGTAGGTGATGTTTCTTTGGAACTATCTGCTGAGTTTTTGCTAACTAATAGGCACAATGCATGGCATATTGCTTCCTTAGCGGAATTTGTACACGAGAACTGTTACAACTGGAGCAATGCAACCCCCCAGGTTAGAACCGCTGAGCTCAAGTCCTCTCTTTGCTTTATACTAAACCTGCAATCAGAAGCTGCTGATATCCATGTTACATATAGTTTAACTTCTTTTAATTTGCTTTTTCTTTCATTTTGGCTATTTTTTTATATTCAAGTGGTCTGGGAGCAGTGTACCTGTTCCCTTAACCCTGCAACTGTGATTATTGCAGTTATTGAGAAACTGCAATAATTACCTTCAATTGAGGGGCTTCTGGGTCCTTAGCAGACGTTTGGTCCGTGAAATGACTCTGGACGTCCTCACGCTTTGCATGAGGACATCCAGCAACAGCTAAAACCATACAATGCTTTCCTATTTTACAAATTTTAAGCTTAGTTCAGGCTCGGCATTAGCGGAATATCATCTAGTGGTCATTCTTTGTTTTGCAGTTACTGTTTTAAGAAAAATACCATCGGATTTGTTTTGTTATGCCATACATTGTGATATGCTGCCACTTTATTTAGTATGTGTTTCAAACAGGAGCTCATAAGTCTACATGTTACATGCACGTTGAACGGCTACCAAAAAAGAAAAAAATAATACAACCTAAAATTTGAAGAACTTTTTAAAGATCCTTCAATTATAGCATTGAACTGATCCAAGCGGCAAAGCTCACACTAATGGTAATAGGAGAATATATGCATAAATATCAAAACACCTCCACATTAGCAAAATATTTTAACAGATGTAGAGTTAGTCATTTATAAAAAGGCAGATAAATGTGCTTCTAAAGAACATTTATATGTGTTTTTTAAATCAAGCAGTCGACTTGTTTATCAGGTTTGACTGCTTGAATTTCATTTTGATTTGATGCAAAAAATAAATTTAAAAAATTGTCCAAAAACAGTCGATATTTATTGACCTTTTTCAGTCGATAAAAATAAATCGAGGCCTCTGTTATTAAATTTAATTAATAATGCAGCATGTACATTTTATAAAGCATACTTTGGTATGAATTCCTGTAAACTGTGCTAATGCTTTTTATTTGGAAGTGACTGCAAGCTCGTTAGGGCAAGACCTTTTGTTCCCGTACATCAAACATGTTTTATCAGAATTGTTTGTTTGTCTGTTGTACACCGCTGAGGAATATGTTGGTGCTATATAAATTACTGTAACTGAACATGTAAGGCAAGGTGCAAGGTAGGTGGAAATATACTAATTTCTTTTTCAGAAACTATGCAGCTTGTATCTTGCAACATATAAAATTCAGAGTGATTATTTTGCATGGAGCTCTATGAGATATGCAATTGCACTTTAAGTGATTGGTGTGTATCTTTAAAAATCAGGCTTGACTTTTGTAACATTAAAACGTCTATAACATTTCTTTCATAATGGATATTACAAGCTATTTAGCTTTCCTGATATTGACAAGGAGTCTGTTCAGAGTCCTATGAATGAAATCATTTCTCCAGCGAGACAAAAGAGAATTGAAAACACTTTCTGATTGAGACGTAGCAGAAGGAAAGATGGGATAAAGAAAAGCAGGATGAAAAAAGATGAATAAAAGAAGGATATTAAAGGGATATTAGTGGGAATGTCAGGAGGATAAAAAGTTATCAACAGGAGGAAAGTGTGGAGGAGATGAGAAACACATAAGGAAAATTGCAAAGAGGAAAACAGCAGGAAGGATATACATTACCTCTAAATGAAGGAACATTAAAAAAATTATTTATATTAGGGTTTCCGACCAATGAACATATAGCAGTTCAGGCCTTGAGAAAAGCCCATGTATAGGACTGAAACACTGATGATGCATTAATATGTAATAAAAGCATGGATATGAACGCATATTAAGTAAAGTGAGTGCTTCCTTGAACTGAATGCACAAATTTTTATTATTATTTTTATTTTTGTTAACAAGATACGTTCCTTTTTTATTTTAGATTACTGGGTCTCCCTTCAGTTTAAAAAAACAAACCAAAAAAAAAAAAAAAACATGAAAAATTGCTATTGAACTTACCTTCACTGATTCTTACATAGAAGCATTGAGGACACACAAGGCATGTGCCACAAACACCACTATCCAGATGCATTAGACACATACAGCATTCAATGTCAGCATGCAAATAACTGAATCTATTTTAGTCTGGAGCCCCTAGTGGCTGGCTGTCTAACAGCCACTTATAGACGTGGAAATTGCAAAAGGTTAATAGTGCTATATTACTCAGAAATGGCACCGTTTTAATTTGTAAGGCCGCAGGGGCAGCATTGATGCATTAATATCACTTGATTGATTAGACTGTCCTTTTTACCGAGGGTTCACAGATTCTCTGTAGACAGCCCTAAATCTGTTGTACTGTAATTTCCCAAACTTTCTAAGACGCAGTTACTGGAAAAGAGCTGGAAACCAAAATGATGGAGAACCCCTGCTGCAGCCAAATATCAAAAACAATAAACAGAAATTCCGTGTAGGCTTGTGCACCTTCACAAAACTTTGGTTTGCTGAATCAGTTCGTCTGTAAAAAACAAACAAAAAAAACATTTTTGGGGCGAATCAGGTTTTATTCATGTGGTGTTTTAGATCGGACAAATTTGATTGCTAAAATGTACATATTAGCGTACTGCTAAATAAATACATAATATAAATATTAAATATATTTCGAAATACACTGATTAAACACAGATCAAGTAAGAAAAAGTGAGGAATAAAAGGAGGAACAGTATAAATATATATATATACTTATAATATAGAGATTTTATTTTTACCGATCCTACTTTTTCACCTCTATTGGTCAATTCTCACTTGATCTGTAAAAACAATCACCATTTAGTGACTGTCCCCTAACCATCAGTCATTTTTAGATTGTCACTTTTTGGAACCAAAGACATCACCTTGAATAATGAAACTAATGAAAGGGCTTGTTCATTCCTCGTTTAGATTGTGTCATGATTCGGTCATATAGTTATTAGGAGTAATGGAATTCAGATTACTTGCAGCACGCCCAAAATTTGGACGAATCCCGAAAACACAAGTCTACTTTTGAATTCACTCAACAGGCACCAGTGACACACAAACTATACAAATCACACAAATGTAGGAACCACGCAACAGGGCCTCTTTCTCACTGGTCTAAAAATAGATTCAGACATTGCTAGTGTACAAGAAAAACTATTTAACAAAAGAATATACAGTTTTTGTCTTCTTTGGAATGTTAGTACTCATTTCACCTTAGAGAGGTATGAGTGTCATGTTATAAGTCCAAATTTGTCACCTTAGGTCTGAATTGACCAGTTATTATTTATTCTTACACTAATTTATACCAAGGTAGAATTCCATAACTGACATTAAAGGTTCAGTCTAGTATGTAGTGAACCGTAGTGGTTATAGTGTCAGGAGTTCCGTGAAACCATCCCATGGTAAGTAGTTACCTTTTGTTGAATTATTTGACACATATTTGGGACCCCCTGGTGCCTACAGTCAAACCTCTTTTAATAATACAAAATGGAAGTTCCCATTCTGCAATAGATATATACATTTTGTCAATTGTTGGGAGAAATTAATCGTCTCACACTCTCAGCCAATGAATTCTGCCCAAACATAGGCAAACATGATGTCACCAGTACGAATGTAGGAACCTCTGTGTTAGCAATATCAGAAAATATGCCTAGGGGAATCAGATAAGTGTCAAACCATTCAAAAATAGTTTGACTACTTACCATGAGTTGGTGCTAGGGGATGCTGTAGTGGTTATGGTGTTTAAACTATTCCTTTAATACATTACATAGTTACATAGTTACATAGCTGAAAAGAGACTTGCGTCCATCAAGTTCAGCCTACCTCACATTTGTTTTTTGCTGTTGATCCAAAAGAAGGAAAAAGAAAAAAGATTGAAACACAATTTTGCAACAAGCTAGGAAAAAAATTCCTTCTTGACCCCAGAATGGCAGTCAGATTTATCCTTGGATCAAGCAGTTATTACCCTACATTGAAAGATTATATCCTTGAATATTCTGTTTTTGCAAGTATGCATCTAGTAGCTGTTTGACCATCTGTATGGACTCTGATAAAACCACTTCTTCAGGCAGAGAATTCCACATCCTGATTGTTCTTACAGTAAAAAAACCTTTACAGTATTTCCCTTTCTTATTTATTTGGTTTCAGTAAATCATTATATATTTCTGCTATGATCATAAAAAGATCATATAAAATGAATATGTTCATTATTAATATTAAGTTTGTCTAATACTTGGTCTATCTAATACTTCAGATTTCAGTTGTTGTTTTTTTCAAAATGGCTGCCATATTCAAAATGGCGGACTTTCCTTTTCAGTTGACTGTACAAAATTGAAGCCATAAATCATGTTCCTATTATGATATCATTATAAATACAACCACAACAGATTGCACTTGCTTTAGTGAAAATATTACTGAATATTACATACCCCTAAGAGTTAGAGCTATGATTTGCAGTCTCAAAGATAATGTCTACTCTGCATGTTTGTAGATCAATGTTTTTATATTTGTAAGCCTCACAGCAGACACTTTACTTATGAGGGGAAAAATGCAGCCTATTTAGAGGAAGTAGAGTCTTCACTCATGTCTTACAATATATTACAACTAATAACCTGCACTGCCTGCCCAATGCCCTCTGACCCCATTTAAACATCAATATTTTTCAAGGTTAGGGGGCAGCTGAGATGGATACCAAACAAATTTAACATTTCAGTTATGTGTGTCTGGGGAATGTTAAGTTACTGCAAATCGTCTTTAGGTAGAAGGCACTTTGAATGCTGGAAGAGCATATACATATTATATGTATAGATATCTATTTTGTCTATGATATATTTTATGTACAATTCTGTGTATACGTTGAATTGTTTTATACTAAACTCCAGTTTGTGTACATAATAATTTAAATAGGATTTAAAATACCTATATATTGTTTTTCATGTTTAAGCTAGATGCTAAAATTCACTTTTTTCTTTTGACTAAAGATATAAAATGTTCACTCTAGGGTTATTTGCTAAAGTGAGAATTCAGAGTAAATTCAAGGTAAATTTCAAATTTAAGGCCAGATAAGCCAAAATGAAAGTATAGCTGACTATATTAAGATAATTCACTTAGTGAATAACCCTATAAGCATTTGCTTTGGAAATTCCCAAAATGCATAATTACTGTAATACAGACAATGGCAGTATTAAAAGCTCAAAGATTGATGGGCCATGCCCAGACTAGTAAGTGTTTTATTTAATGCAATGTGCACTAGTGACAATTGTTCTTGCTTTTGGATATCAAACATAGAATTCATTCATATTTTATGGGGGTGTTGAAAATAAAAAAAATAAAAATGTTAAGATCTGTTTGTTTGGCCAACATTCCTAAGGTTTTTGAAGACAGGACAAAATAATTTTTTTTTTTATAAAGAATTATTTTAGTGAGAGGTGCACGATAAATGTAATTTGTTATCTTCACACAGTTTTTCTTAATGCAACAGAAACAGTGTACTTGTGTTCTTAAATTTTTAAAAATATTTATTAATTATTTTATATTTTGCCAAAAAAAAAAAAAGAAGTACTCTATCAATGTCATCACTAAAAACGGTTTAGTAAAAATAAAGCATTTTAAAAATGACTACACATATATAAACACACTATGTAATTGGTATATTTAAAACACTCTATGTATTGATATATTTAATTTATTTGTGGTGTATATGTCAAGGTGTTTTGATCATACAACTAATAGATCATTTAAAGGAATACTCCAGATTAAAGTGCTCTTAAAAAAAGCATCCTGTAAAAATGTATGAGAATTAAAAAAAAATTTAATAAAAAATAATAATGAATAATAATTTAAAAAAAAATAATCATAAAATATATGCAGCTTGGCTTAACACTTTGGCATTCCACTTTCAAGGCTAATTAGAGTAGGATTCTTTCATGCAAATGTTCTGTATACATTCACCAAGGGCCCCATGCAAATCATTGTAATGACAGCAGTCATTCTAATTGCACAAGCATATAGTGCTACAAGCAACATTTCATTTACTTAAAAAGAAATGAGTCTCACTGGTGCTATTTAGTATTAGTGAAGCGTGAGTCAGAGCTCCTAATGGAGCTTCCTCTTTAAAGGAGAACGGTCACTTCCGAGAATTTTTACTATTATGCTTACTTATCCCCTATATTTAACAAGCGTGTTTGTGAAGGGTAAAAAAAAATAAAATGGAATGTAGAAATTCACGCCTTTCTATCCTGCAACTGGGCATCTCCAAGTTGTAGTGTTATAAGCTCTGTCCTTTACCATGGACAGTCAGCATAGAGAACACATACAGAGAAGAGAAAAAATTAAACATTGCTTCAATGCCTTATCTTTTTTTAATGTGTGTCGTGGCTGAACCAGATTGTCAATGATAAATGGTTAAAATATATTTAAAAGAAAATAGAGCATCACATGAAACGGTTAATGAAAATTCTAGGTGATTTTCCATTTTTTATTCAATTAAGTTATATCTAGAGAAGTGACAGTTCTGTTTTAATAATAAATGTAAAGTATCGTGTGCTCTGTTAAATGGCAAAATATTTAAAGAAAACAAAGGAGCCCATAACACAAAGCTAATGAAGTAAAATACATGCATCTGCCTTACCTCAAGATAAACGTGAAAATTAAAAGGAAAAAAACACTGAAATTAGACATTCTAGAACAGCAAATCGTACATTTGGCACGTTACCTCCACTGGTTGTTAATTACATTTCACCAAAAATGGCCAGTCTATTAAAAGTAGTTATCTGTCTCCAAAAAAAATTAAAAAAAATAAAGTTATTTTTGTTGTGCATTATTCTAAAGGTCAATGTACATAAAAAAACCCCCTGAGATTTCTAGTAAAATTGCAATGGTCATTATAATGCAGGTTCACCTACTAATATCAAAGCAAATCTCTTAGGTGAGTCTTACGTTAACAACAGTGGTGGATCCAGAGCCTTATCTCGGGAGGGGCACTTGTAGATTATTTAAATAAATAATCCATGCACAATAACCACTACAGCCCTGTGCAGTGGTTATGGTGCCAGGAGTGCCGGGTCCCCCTCCCAGAGCAAGTAGTCAAACCATTTAAGAACAGTTTGACAACTTATCTGGGGTCTGTAGTAGGGTATAGGAGCAGTGGTGTGTGTGAGTGGTGCAATGTGTGAGGGGTGCAGTGTGTGTGAAAGGTTCAGTTTGTGTGTGTGTGTGGGGGGGTTTAGTGTGTGAATGTGTCGGGTGTGTGGGGCAATGTGTCTATAGTTTGTGTGGGGAGCAATGTGTGTATAGGGGGCTGTGTATGTGTGTGTGGGGCAATGTGTGTATGGGGGGCTGTGTATGTGTGCATGGGGCAACATGTGTATGGGGGGTTGTGTGTGTGTGGGGCAGTGTATGTGTGTGGGGGCAATGTGTGAATGTGTATGTATGAGGGGCAGTGTATGTGTGTGTGGGGCAATGTGTGTATGGGGGAGCAGTGTGTGAATGTGTATGGTGTGTATGGGGGGCAGTGTATATGTTGGCAGTGTGTGTATGGGGCTGTGTGTATGTGTGTGTGGGGCAATGTGTGTATGGGGGGCTGTGTGTGTGGGGGGCAGTGTGTGTATGGGTGGGCAGTGTATATGTGTGTGGGGCAATGTGTGTGTATGGGGGCAGTGTATGTGTGTGTGGGGAAGTGAGTGTGTGGGGGCAGTGTATGTGGGGGCAGTGTGTGTATGGGGGGAAGTTCATGTGTGTGTGTGACAGTGTGTGAATGCGGGGCAATATGTGTAGGGGGCAGTGTATGTGTGTGGGGGGGAAGTGTGTGTATGGGGGGCAGTGTGATGGTGAGAATGTGTGGTGAGAAGGGTAGGGGGGCTTTTTTATATATATTTTTTAATAAAAAAAAAATGTATGTCCCCCTCCCTTCTTGCATTTATCGATCCCTGGTGGTCTGTGGGGAAGCCCAGGTGGTCCCAGTGGTGAGAGTGAACTCTAGCCCGTAGCTCCGTGGTAACCGCGGGAACGCTCCGTGCTCGAGAGAAGAACCTGGAGGAGCTGCAGGCTGAATTCCTGGGTCCTCTCTCCCTCCCTTGGCAATGTGCAGACCGGGGAGGGAGATCTCTGATCTCCCCTCTGGTCCTTGAAGGCACAATGCAGGGCTGGCGCCTGGACAGTGCCAGCCCTGCATTAGCCGGCAGGGGAGAGCCTCGGTGGGGTTGGGGGGCAATTGCCCCATTGCCCCCCCCGGATCTGCCAGTGGTTAACAATCCATCTTGCTGCTTTCTGATAAATGGGGAAATCTCTAATGAGAACACTTACCCTTGGAAGAGATTGTGGTTTTATGGTACTAAAAAACCTGTTTAATTATATTTAGATTAGGATTTACACCATAAAGCTTCATCGGAATAAAGTACCTATATCACTCCATTTTGTGAATAGGAAGCTACTGATAGTTTAGGAGCATCAGAGGTGGACACAATCCAGTAATATTACTAAATCCTGACTGAAAAGTAAATTTTCACATTTACTAAAGCTGAATATGTTCAGAATTCGGTTGATCCGAGTTAATCTGCAGAAATCAACGGCATGAATTTTATGTCTGGATTATAATTGGTGCTTTCAAATCCAAATCCTATACAAAGCACTGGTTTTGAAAACATTTAGCTTTTTCTGCAATGCGAGGGTTAATACTGTAATGGCAGGCAAGGTTTAAATATATATTTTTAAAAGCCAATGGGGTCAGTAAGACCTGCATATTACTATAAAGAAGGTTTTAGCCTCTCTATGCCCCCATCTGCCATTTGGGCGCATATCAAACAAATGTTTGAAACTTGTGACTGGGCAGCCAGTGTTGACCAGTCACTAGAAATGCACCATCCAATGAGAGTGGGGTCTGTAAAATAATTGGGGGGAAAGTGGTGGGGTTATAGTCCCCTCTGTGACACCACTCATAAAAATAATAAATAAATAATGGGAGGCGGTTAGATCACTGTTCACGCCCCTGCAATCACTCGTGGGGTCGTGATAGATGGTATTTAATAAAAGAAAACAGGGAGGACATACTAATGCCCCTTTCTGCCCCTAGTCATGATCAGTGGGTGGGGGCTATTATAATATAAGGGGGTGGGACTTTGTAAACAATCCAATCAGAGTTATTCTCTCTCCCTAGCTCTCTAGAGAAGTAAGACTTGTCTGTCAGAGTGCTCTGCTCATTTGGTTACAAGCCAACTAGCCAGAGCATTATAATGAGAATTCAAAGGGTTGGAAAGCCTTTATGTAGTCTTTTCACCTTTTCAAGCCACATTCGGCAGATTAATTTACTTTTCTGTATCACATTTTCTATTTTTTCCATCAGATTTTTTGTGAACGCCTTTTTAAAAAAAAAATTTAAAAAAATTTAATTGCATTGCAAGATTATGTTTTTTTATTTGGCCTTTTTTAGAGCTGAAGATATGAAGACTTACAAGAAAGAAGAATTCAGATGGTAAGTATTTTTTTAGAGAGATATTAGTTTTATTAGCCACCCTCACTACTATTAGGGTAAGTAAGGGTTATATATTTTAAGGTGGGGTACCTAGGGAATTGGTGACACTTACCCACCCGGGATAGAACACTAATCTCCGCCATCACCATTGGGTGTGGGCTAGAGGGAGGACTCTAGGTGTCCACCGTGAATATTATTATGGCTCCCACCCACCACCAATAAGTTAGTGCTGGGGAGTGACACTAGGTTTCGTCTCCTTATATTATAAGGCTTTTAAAAATGTATTTATTTAACTAAGAAGCACTGGCCATTCACCACTTAATAATCCTCGTTTTCAGCCATTTGTCCACTTGCTGCTAGCAGTACCAAAAGGCAAATAGTTCTGATTTTTTTTTAAAACAAAATCTAGACCCAGATTTGAAGCATCCAGCTTAATTGCAAAATCAAGACGTTGTTAAATAGTGTGAGCAATGGCTGGATTTTACACTTTGTATGGCCTCTTACTCAGCCAGGTGCTTTTGTACTGTTCTTAACAGGGCCATTCAGACTTTAGTGATATCCCTGTGTGTCTATGTATTTGTGAGTCTGTGTGTGTTTATCTTTCTGTGTTTATGTATATCAATGTGTCCGTGTGTGTATATGAATGTGTGAACATGAATGTAAGTGCGTATGAATATGTATGTGTGCATGAATGTCAGCAGGTACGTTTAATTTTACTAACAAAAGGGGGTTGGTGGTGTTGCAGACCCCCAAAATGTTTTTTTACAGTTTGGGGGGATTTGCCAAATTACATTTCCACCCTGGGTGAGATGTAACCTAGGTACACCTCTACAATGGATGAATACGTTTTAATAAAAATCACTTTATGCTGGACTCTGTTTAATGGTGAAATGTTTAAAGAAGAAGAAATGAGAAAACCTTTAGCAGAGCATAGCTGTGTTAAGGGAAAAATGAAGTGAGAATGTAGTCACCGAGTCTAATCATCGCATGCTCACCTTGCTACTTTTGTTGAGATTGAGTTTCTGACCTCGTCTCACATGAGTAAAAGGTAGGTAAAAGGGTCTTGATGATACAGAACTTTTTGTTCAAAATCATTCTCATCCTCACTCTACACACCCCTTCTCCATAAATTAATGCACCAAATGGCGTTTAAACCCTGCAGGCATGTGAATGAGTGAATCATGTGTTTTGATGATCTCTATAGTCGACTGAAACGCCATTTACTTGATTAATAAGGCATATTCAAATGATATCTACACAACTCTGCCAGGAAAATAATGGTTTTCCGGTTGATGTGTTGATAAAGTGATTTTTTTCCATATTGCATGACACTGTGAAAGTTTATATTCCACTTTCTAACTAATGTTATCTTAATTTATACATCCCCTACAGCTCTTTTCAGTTGTAAAATGAAGATAACAGAAAATGACTGACAGACAAAATAATGTCAACAGAAAGAAGAGATGGAGGGGGCTCAGCTCCGAAACACTTTTACCTGGTGTAACAAATGTGCGTGATATCTTGCATCTGTCACAGACCACTCGTAACAGGAGGATGACTGCGCATGTATGTTTTCGGGGGTCTATCATAATTCAAGATGGGATTAACTGAACACCACTATGATATATTTCCAAATTCAGCAGGGTGAAGATGCAACAGAGGGAAGACACAGGTAGCTTAATTAAAAATTTGCTGAACACTGTAGAAAATATTTCTTTTTACTTTTAATCTTACTCTTAGGAAGAAAAAAAATAAATTGTGTTTGGTTTTTGTTGTTTGCTTTTTGTACAATTCTTGTAAGAGCTATAACGGTAATTCAGCATTAAATTAGTACGAAATGTACTAAATCTTAACACAAATATACCCAATTACAATTTTATACAATTTCCAAAGTGATAATAATGGCTGCTAATTCTATATTAATGCTGTCGTGTGTACATTCATTTCCCTTGTTTCAGATATACTCACTTTATATAAAACATCACTTTAAATAGTTTAAACGTATATTAACAATGATAAAAAAAAACATTATAATAAAAAATATAAGGATTTAAGATACAAACAAATTGTATTTAGGAGAAATTGAATGGAACACCAAAAAATACACTCAATGTCTGCACCACAGGCATAACACTTAGTGAATTGACAATTTAAGCCAAAAAAGGGCTAATTTGCCAATCTATTGTTTAGCAGATAAATCCTCAGGAGTTTTTTTTTAAAATGTTCTTGGGATGGACTACAAATCTTATATATAGATATTCATATTTATACGTCCTCAAATAAACTGCTGAAAATAATCTACATAGTTTTAAACAAATCTTATTATATTGAATTTGGATTAAAATATAAAAGGCACTGCATTATTTAAAACACTTGTGCTCAAAAAGTTCTCTGCTTTAAAGTTAACCAGTTGTGACAGATTCAGTATAAATGAACCCCAACCAAAGGACCTGAATATATAATTTATCATAGAGATAAATATAAATTCAATGTAAACTTTATAGCTGTAGGCTTAACTAACCTCGGGCCCGGCACCTCCATCTGTAACAGCACCTTCATTACTGCCTGTGTCCCACACACACACTGTGAAAAGGATTGACCCTGCTTTGGTATGGGACAATCCTTCTCCTGGATTCCGACACATACTAGAAGCTGTAGTTGTGGTTGCTAAGTCAGAAAGCAAAGGTGCTGCCTGATTGAGGGTTCTCCTGCTCTTCCTGTCAGTCAATGTTGACTCACTGATAAAGACTTGACTGGTTTTAAAATAGGGTTTGCTACCAATTTATACATATTCTAGCAATTCTGCCATCACAATGTATAAATGGAATTTCATTTCATTTTACACTAGACAAATGTGTATTGTAACAGGTACACTTTAATATGCCTGTTTTATTATATTTGAGATAAGCATGGGGCGTATTTTTTTAACACACACGTATTGGCAGTTTGAATTCATAATTCAGTACACCATATTTCAACTGCCGTAAAGTGTTTAAATTGAGCCTGCCATCTACAAACCATGTACCGAAAAGTATAGGTGCAATTTTTACCCTGCGCTTGTAAAATTGCCATCAAGCACTTCTATTAAAAAAATATGTGAAGTTTACTTAGTTCAAACACTGTAAGGCCTCCTGGATTGGAAATGAGTCGTGCAATGCCGCCATAGCAGAAATTCCAAGTTTATAGTTTTACTGGAACAGCATAGAAGTATAGCCGAATAAAGTGAGAATTATATTTAATTTAATATCTTTTCATCTATACATTTGTTAGTACAATGTTTAGATGAAATTTTACTCTTTAGAGGGGACCAAATCAAGTCCACTTTAAAAATAAAACTTTGACTTCATTTGAAAACACTATAAACACAGCTAACAGTACACTGAGTTTAACTTCAGTGCTACCGGCTCTTTTGATTTCTGAGTTACTAAAAAACTATGACCTCAGTTGCCACACATGACTTCTGCAAACTGTAGGTCTACAAAAGCAGAGTGATGTAAATGAGAATAGTGTAGTCCGAGTTAGGACCATCTGTGAACTCTAGTTAGTAATTTTATCATGTGGTTTTACTAGAGGACTTTTTAACCCTATAAGTACAAGTGCCAGTCCATGCCACCATCACAGAAAATGTCAGCATTGAATAGGTTAATTATTTTCCATCAGCTGCTCTGTAGAGCTCAGTTAATAATAAATGTGAGCAATTCAAGGCCGAACAGGATGTCTAAAGATCAGAATGTTATGATGAAATAAAAAAACGTCCTTACCAAGTTAAAATTATATTATTCAAAATATAAATTAATAAAAACTCCATGAGTGGTGCAGACGTGGCAGGAGAATGTACTTTTTGGTGGTATTCAAAACAGCACAGTCCAAATGGTAAATTCAACGTGTTAGACTATCAGAGGACCACTATAACAGTGCTGAAATCAAGGGTATTAAAACGTGAGGCATAAAAGTCACTTTTTCATATCACTGTAAAGGGTACAGTTGGTAGATAGAGTTTAGGGCCACATAGCATTATGGGTTAGGCAACTCAAACCCCTGTGTCCATGTTTACAGGCTAACCCACATTAGTAAGTGGAGTTACTGGGGACATCAGCAATCAAAATTCTATGAGTTAAACTTACAACATTCTCCTCTATGTGATGTACGCCATTATGACCAATGCTAAAATGACACTGTGCTCTTGTGAGGGGACGGTCATTACAGGTTTGTTATATCCTGACATTTTTTAACACACAGTTTGGATGGCACTGTTTTGGTGGGTTCTGCTTAAGTATATTGTAGGTCTACTAACTGCTTGATAACAATTTCAAGAATTCTCGTCTTGTCTCTTTGTTAAACAATGATAAATTAGTCATAATAATTATACAGTAAAATAGTAAAAAAAAGTGATGTAATGCAAAACATCGAACAGGGTTGTCAAACAAAATAATATGGAATAGTGTTCCACCATGATACAATGAATCTTCACTGGTAAGGTAGATTGGCAGTCAGTGATAACACATCATCTTTTGAGGTCTATCGTAATGTATGGGATAATGCGTGGAAATCAAAACAAAAATCATATATGTATCATTGGGGCTGGCAAAATAACGATAATGAAACATTGATTCGGGATGCTGCAGAATGGTTAAAGTTAATAAAAACCATAATGAGCAGATTAGAAAAAAAAATCAATATTGCATTTGATTTTTTAAAAAGCATTTTAAGTGTAGTCACCCTGTTTGCTTCCAAAATAGGTCTGCCATAGCTCAAAGCAAATGATTCTGGGGAGATGGTCTAATGCAATGTCTCTGGTCTATTAAAAATGTTCACTACAGTCTTGTCCAGAGGTAGGCAACCTTCGGCACTCCAGGTGTTGTGGACTAAATCGCCACTGATGCTTTGCCAGAATTATGGTTGTAAGAACAATTTGGGAGATGTAGTCCACAACATCTGGAGTGCCAAGGTTGCCTGACCGTGGTCTAGTTTAATAATATTCACTGAAGCATAATATTCACTGAAGGACCTGTAATATACAGGCTCAGGTGCAATGGACTGGTTATGGAGAAGACATTTGATTAATAAGTCATCTATTTTGCAATCAGGACCAGTAACATTCACTAGCCATCGCACTGCAAGAACAGTTGGCCACCCTCAGTAAAATCCAGTCAATCATCATGTATAATGCTTAGAAACTAAAGTACTGATTTTTTAAATCTTTTTATTCCCTATGAAAGCCATGTGCATTGTTAAGAGTTTTCAGTTTCATGTTTCTGAGGTTCACAAAGAAAAACAGCGTATCTCAAACTTGTCTTGTCATTGTGTTATGTTTCTGCTTTCTTTTTAAGAATGACTTCATCATTCAATTAATGCTAAAAGAAAAAAAAAGTTTTAAGAACTATTATGTCTTTTGCAAATTTAGGATGTTATTCAATTTCTGAAGGCATTCCGAAGCACTTTGGAAACAGGAAGCTCCTCCATGTTTTCACTGGAGCCAGATGCTTCTGAAGGCATATTTGCTACAACTGTCCTTTTGCATAAGTACTGTAGAGACACAACTTTGCAATTTAATGGCTGTGTCAGCATGAGAGGAGCCGGGTGATCCTTGCCCTCTATGTAGCACAAGTTGGCGTCTGATTCTCCTGCTGCTGTAAGGCGCATGTAATGCTCAACCAACTTAACCACACAAGGAAATGTAGGTGGGCTCTCTGCTCCTGCCACCGTCTCCAGGTAGAAAGAAGGTCCATCAAGCTTAATACGTAGGTTGGTAATTCCTGCAGATGTACGAAGACTGAGAGTGAAAAGGTGGTGATGATCCGAGGAGTCACGGATTAGGAAAGATCCCACAGGCTGGTCAGATAAAAGCTTTTTGGCATCTGTGCCAGAGAGGGTGCTCCAATAGTAGCCACTAGCCTCTAGCCGCTCTAGAGCAGTCTCCACCTGCTCGTAGTCCCCACAGAAAGATTTGTAGTGGTAGGATAGTTGGGCAGCCTGTGAGCTCATGGCTGCAAAAATGGATGATGGACAGAGGGAGCGACGAAAACAACTCCAGCGAAGTGTGACCATCGTCAGGCTAATCAAGCCAGGCTGCAGAAACCAGTGAGAATGAAAACTAAGGTTGTTGCTCTGTTTTGAAAGGATTATAGAGGGTGCTGTGCTCTGAGAGAATGAATAGTTGATGCGCTGTGAAAGAACGGAGTACCCAGATTGATGCTCTGTGCAGTAATGAATACTCTGAGTAAAAATCAATACTCAGGTTGCTGTAACTGTGCAAGAATAATTACTCAAGTTGGTGTACTGTGCAAGAATGAACAGTCAAGTTGCTGCATTGTATAAGAATGATGATTCATGGTTGCACTTTGTGAAAACAAAGGCTTGAGTTGTTGTAATGTGTGAAAAAGGAGGCTCAAGCATAAATACTGTGTAAGAATTAAGACTCAGGGTGCTGAGGAATGAAGGTTAAGGCTGTTGCACTGGGTAGTTATGAGGTCTTACGTTGCTGGACTGTGCAGATATGAAGAATCAAGCTACTGCAATGCGTGAGCAAAGCTGCTAAGAGTTTTTAGGTTGCGATACTGTGCGAGAATTAAGAATCTGGTGGCAGAACTGTGCAAGAATGAAGACACTGCTTGCTCTACTCAATGAAAATGAAGGTTCCGCTGAGTAGCTCTGAATACTTCACATTATATTTGATGTATCCATAATTCTGAATCACCTGTAAGGCAAAATTAAGAGAAATGTAAGATAATGGACAATGGAAACATTTCAAAAAACATATGTAAGATTAGCAGTTTATTATAAGAAAATAGGCTTTGATTCAATCAATCAGTGTAACATTGTATGCATCATACTCCTGTTTCTCTGTAATGGTGGTGCATTTGAAAGACAGCAAAGGCCATACTATAATATTCCTATAATCCAGTCAGAAAATGACATAAGTCATGTGGCTCTACCGGGTAGGCAGATGCGTGAGAAGCAAAATGGGTGGCAAAATAAAATAATAATACATAAATAAAGAAACAAACGACAATTTGATCTAACCTCGGGGAACTTGGGAATTTTGTTAAAAGAAATGTTAATCTGGACAAATGTGATTCTCCTGGATCACTGTGTCACTGTATAAATAAAGTATTGTTTGTCAAGCTTTTAAAGAGGAATTGTCACTGCTCTGAAATGTACACCATTGAATAAAATATTGAACCATTAACTGTAGCTTTATTAGAATGTATTTCGTAAAATATGCTCCTTTTTCTTTAACATATATTAAAGATTTAGCAAATTACATCACAATCCACTTCAGACAAGGCAACACCATGGGAAACATTGCAAATAAAAAGGAGAAAATTTAATTTTGTTTAGTTTCTCCTCCTCCCTGAATGCTTTCTAATTGCTGACTGCGGAGTGCAAAGAATAATTTTACCAATGAGTGAGAGGGAGCTAAGTTGCAGGCACCTAGGTGCAATGTAAGGAGGTGTTTAATTTTTCAGTTAATTTTATTTTTCACACCTCACAAATTTGCTAAACATATGGGTTAAGTAAGAGTTATATTAAAAAGCCTGAGGAGCGACAGTTCCCCTTTAAATTTCATAATTACAAAATCTGGCAAAAATGGTCTTGTTTACATCATATAAGAAAAGTCTGTAAATACATAATTAAATTTTATACTAAAAATGTAACTCCAAATCTAATTGTACTGCTTTTCTGTAAACACACAAAACCTGATCTATTTAACAACATTTATATAGCGAGCTACTATTTATAATCAAGTCTTGTTTAAGTATTTGGACCTCTATGAGTGAGACCAGAAACTGAGATTTTTTTTTTTTAAACAAAGAAGGAAACACGATTAGTTAATAGGACAGCTGAAGAATGTAACATAAACATTGTGCTTTTTATAGTCATATACTAAACTTTTTTTCCCCCTTTTGTGATTGTAACCTGCTACTGTTGCCAAGGTACAAATCATTGATTTTCACCTCTGATTTTCAAAGTAAAAGCTTATAAGTTTGTAATTCATTTCTCAGGATTATCAATGGGATGCGCTCATTATCCCAAGCAATCTTAGAAACGGAACTCTATTTCTGTGGTTCCAAACGTTTTGAGTATGAGGACCACTATTTATTCCTAATTCCCTGCCATTCCTACGTACCTAGGAGGTATGGTTCCACTCAAAGGACATATGTGGCCTGCCTTTGAGGATGTGTATCCCACACCTCCAGATAACTCCACCTACTGTTCTTCTATGATGCTGCTAGATAAAAAGCTCATTAGAATTACAAATTAGCAGGTCTACCAATTGCTCTGAATTTGGAGAGATAGTACAGATTTTGGCCTCTTTTCCCACTATCCCATGCTTGTTCCCTGGTGTCTAGTTTTTGTGGACACCAAGGAACAGTCTTTAGAAAGCATTGAGCGACTGAATCGATAGCCAAGCTTGCGCTACCCGAAGGGCACTATGAGCATGCAAAGAGTGCTGTCACATCGTGGTGCATGCTCATCCTTTTCTGTGGTCAAATTCACACCAGGCTGATATGCCCCTTCTTCAGGCAGGCTCTACATTTTAGAGGTGCCAGTAATGCGGGTCAGGCACTGGCCCATGCTTAGACCTGCCCAACCTATTCCTGGTTTACACACCTCCCTACACTGGGAGGTATACATTAGTATATAAAGATCAGAGAATGAGAAAAGGTAAATTAGATAAGTTGACTAAAAAAAATTAAAACTTAAATACCAGGACACGGTCTGCTATCATTGACTACTGTAAAATGATGGGGGCTAAAAAAGGACATATAAACATTTTGCAATCTTACCAAGTGTTGTATACATTTTATCTATGTTTACGAATCTTCTGCATTGGTTTTTAATATTTTCATTTTGCTTTTGAATGTTTTTGTTTTGAGACTGGAATATTTGCACTTCCAACTAATCCAATCACAGCAATGAATCTTAGGCAAGTGAATGAAGGCCCGTTGTCCTCTGAGGAACCACAACAAGGTAGGAAGTAAAAGCTCCAAAGGCCCAGTGTTGCAACAACAGAAAGGATATTTGCACCTACTTCTGCTGTACACTTCATTAGACAAAAATGTAAGGATAATATTGGGAAGGATGGGACCTTGGTGAAGTAGAGGTGGACTCTGGGGCGAGGAGTAGGTGATGACATGGGGGGAGGGGGGATATAAACAGGACAAGGGAGATGGGGAGAGCGTGTTTTTTGCATAGTGTTTATATAATTAATGGGAAGACTAAGCGATAAAACGTTTGCAGTTGCAGGGTTTAGAGCTGGAATATGTTTTCTTGGGGTGGTCATCTAGTTTTACTTGGGTGCAAGTCCAGAAAAATTCTGGATAGATATTTTTTTGGGGGAGTTATATGAAAAAAACCATTGGTAAGTAAAACCATCAATGATACTGTATCATGTGTGAGCAAATGTACACATTGCAATAACGCTTACAGAGAAAGTAATGTTGTCTAAAATGAGGGGCTTTGAACTGCTTATCAAAGTATAAATGACTAATACCAGTATTTTATATTACATGGTTATAGTTATACAGATTTAAAAAAAATGTCTAGCCTTTCACACATCTCAGGCAAAATGGCTAATTAAAAAAAAAATAAAAAAAATAAAACAAAAAAATACTAAAGAAAACAAACATTATATCCTTAAATATTTTATTTTAAAAAAAGCAACCAGATCTTTTTTTCTATTTCTACAGTTACATAAAAAAATAATAATGAAATATGTTTCTATAATAATTATTTAATATATACACACACAACCACGTTTTGCATTTTGATAGATAAATAGATATAAACCACGTACACGGATAGATAGATAGATATAAACCACGCACATAGATAGATAGATAGATAGATATAAACCATGTACACAGATAGATAGATAGATAGATAGATAGATATAAACCATGTACACAGATAGATAGATAGATAGATAGATAGATATAAACCACGTACATAGATAGATAGATAGATAGATAGATAGATAGATAGATAGATATAAACCACTTACATAGATAGATAGATATATAGATTGATAGATAGATTTAAACCACTTACACAGAAATGAATCAGTCAATCTGTTATTGCAGGAATTCTGTAATTGAATAAGCGACAATACACTATAGCCTAAAGTCAGACATTATGCGATAGATTATGTCATAAAAGCAGAGTTAGAGCTGCTTATTCCCAGAACTTAACATTACTTATCTATATTCTGATTTGTTACACACTTACTGGGAAATGCTGTTCAATTAGCATGTAACAATCATCTACATTTTTAAATACCTGGGCAATTCAGGAGTTTTAAAGCAGGAAGAACAGAAATGGCAGTTATTAATGGTATTGGTTATATAAAAAAGCCTTTGTGTTGATTTATGATGATCACCTCCTTGTGTTTATCATACTGAAGGATTGCCTTTGTACATTATTCATTTGTTATGTTACTAACTGTAACTTCACGCTGTGACTGTATATTCTCGGAGATTAATGAGTAGGAACATTTTAATGATGATACTGGGGAACGCAAGACGACCACAAGAACTCTGATCAAAGACTATTCTTTCCTAAACAAAAAATACATACTTTCCTTTTCAATCTGCTACAAAAAGTAAATACATAAAATACACACACACACACACATTGTCTTACACCTCTCTTGTGTATCTCTTACAACCCCCCTTTGTGAGTCTTACTCCCCCCAGCCCCTTTGTGTGTCTCATTCTCTCCCAGCCCCTTTGTGTTTTTTACTCTTACCAGCTCCTTTGTGTGTTTCTCTTTTACCACCAGCCCGTTTATCTCGCCCCAGCCATTCTGTGTCTCTTTTTAATTTTCTCCAGCGCCTCTGAGTCTCTTTCACTCCTAGCCCCTTTGTATTTGCACCCCCAGCCCCTCTGTGAACTTTCTCACCCCAGGCCCATCTGTGTGTCTTTCTCTCTCCTCATCTCCCTCTGTTCATTTTTCTCCCCACTCAGGCCCCCCTGTGTGCCACTCTCCCCTCCAGGCCCCTTAGTGTTCCTCACTCCTCCCCTCCATGTCCATTAGTGTTCCTCTACTCCCCCCTTGTCTCTTAGTGCCCCCCAATTACCCTTAATTTTCCTCTCCCTTCTCTTTTAGTAGTCCCCCTATCCCAGTGTTCCTTTCCCCTTCCCTGTCCCATATAGTGTTCTTTCCTCCCTCCCTTGTCCCATATAGTGTTCTCCCCCATCCCCTGTCCCATAGTGTTCTCCCCCCCATCCCCTGTCCCATAGTGTTCTCCCTCCCATCCCCTGTCCCATAGTCTTCTTTCTCCCCCACAATGTTTTCCTCTCTCGGTGAGCACATCCTTGCAGTCCAGCTGGGTACAGGAAAGTCTCCTCCCGGTCACTCCAATCTAGCGCTCCCTGCTTGGAAAGTCCAGCCCCTTGGGCTATCTGTAGTGCATGGTTAAGTAGGGCACTGGAAAGGGAAACCTGTGACCTGAGACTAGTCTGAAGAGTTGGCCTGGACTTCCAGATATATTTACACATGCAACCAGAAAGTCTTCATTTACTTAAAAGGATATAGTAATTGGCCCACCTTTAAAAAAAAAAAAATTAAAAAAATTGCGTTGTTGTGTAAACCTTTTTTTTGGTGTGTGTGTGTCAAGGTGTGTATATCTGTGTGTCAATGTGTATCTGTGTGTGTGTGTGTGTATGTATCTGACACACAGGCACATAGTGGCACACAGATACACATACCTTAAAACACAGATACAAACACAGTGTGTATCTGTGTGTGTGTGTGTGTGTATGTATCTGACACACAGGCACATAGTGGCACACAGATACACCTATCTTGACACACAGATACAAACACAGTGTGTATCTGTGTGTGTGTGTATGTATCTGTGTGTCAAGGTGTGTGTATCTGTGTGTATGTAAGAGCATGACTGGGCCCCTGATTTGAGATAAAATCGTAGCAGCCATTTTGTTTGGGGAAATCACGGCGGAACCCTATTTGTGTCCACGGAACACCAGTTGGGAAACGCTGGTTTAAGGAATACAAAGTTGTATTCTATGCCCCCCCCCCACAACCTAACAAGAATGGGGAGGGTTAAAAAACCCTTTTAACACTTACCCGACTCCAGTTTTGATCTCCCTTGGTGTTGGGTCGATACTCCGCCTAATCCTCTGTCATCCAATAGGGAGGGCGGCCTAATGCGCTGCAAGCTCTCTGAGCTCATTAGGCCCTCCCCATAGGAAAACATTACTTCATTGCTTTTCTATGGGGAGTTTACTCATGCAGAGTGTGAGAACTTCCAGCGTCAGTAAGGTGACCTAAAGTCGATTAGCCACCTGGAAGTTCCCTTGGTGGCTTTCTGATTTACAGCCACTATAGGCAGTCTTGGCCTATTTTCTCAAAAACTACAATTACTTACATTGCAGGACTAAGGGGGACAGAGACACTGCACAAAGACCACTTCAAATGGGTGCCTATAGTGTCCCTTTAAGCATGCGTACATTATAAAAGTGCTGCTGGGGCCAATAATGCAACATGTGAGATCCAGCTCACTCAATCTCAAAACACCAACTTCAAGGTTCACAAAATGTGATAGTTTTAAAAAATAAATAAATCAGTGATTGGAGATTTAGTGATACTATTTCAGAATAATATTGGGTTTTCTACTGATAACATATAATTAAAACGATGCCTTATAATCCCCAATCTAGTACTGTGGGAATTTGGAAAAATGCATTTAGCTAATCCAGCCAACACAAACAGTGCTGGAAAAGAAAGAAAACAAAAAAGGAGGAATTTATGGCCAAAATAGGGACTGCCTTCCTTAAAAAAGGACACTTGGTAGGTATGAGTAAAACATGTATGTAATAGAAAAGTAAAAAGAAAAAAAAAATACTTCCTGCGCACTGTGGATGCATTGCACATATATGCATACATATCTATGATTGATGAAAAGATAGTATGTTTAATTTCATACAAGATGCTTGTTCTGACCAGTATTTGCAGCTGTGATGTAGGTTTATTAAGGTTTACAGTGTACTATTTTCAGCATACAACATAAAAAAAAATGAATGTAAATAAAAAATAAAAAAAAGACAAAATACAAAAAAAATTCTATTTGAAGCTCAAAGGGTTAATGAATTCCAAGCAGACGTTTAACCATTATCCTGCCAAGCGGGTCTGCTGGCCCCTTGGTTTGCAAAAGGCTTAAGGGCTGTAAATTACGATTAACTGCTTTTCCTGCAAATTGTTAAATAGAACCCTTTATCTAGAGTTCACTAGTGGCGTGACAGGTTAGTGGAGTGCTTCATTTCTGGGAAATGATGATAGACATCTGATGAATGGCAGAGTGTTGGAAGTTCAGACATTTAAAACCATACCTTATCACCTCAGATCTCTCATTCTGTAGGAATTTGGGAAACATTTATTTAGTGAATCCAGTCAATACAAATCACATGTATTTGACTGGTTTGCACTACAGTGATTATTATTAATATAGCGCCAACAAATTCCACAGCGCTGTACAGTTGAACCCAAGACTCCTCATACATTGTGAGCTCATTTGTTAATATTCTGTATGCCAATTACTTGTTGTGAAATATCTCCCTTCTATAATTAAAGCACTGAGAAAATGTAGACGCTATATACAGTGCCTTGCAAAAGTATTCACCCCCCTTGGCATTTTTCGTGTTTTGTTGCCTCACAACCTGGAATTAACATAGATTGTTTGAGGATTTGCATCATTTAATTTACAGAACATGCCCACAACTTTGAAGATTAATTTTTTTTTTTTTATTATTGGGAAGCAAACAACAAATAGGACAAAATAACATAAAAAGTCAATGTGCATAACTATTCACCCCCCTAAAGCCAATACTTTGTAGAGCCACCTTTTGCGGCAATCACAGCTCCAAATCGCTTTGGATAAGTCTCTATGAGCTTGCCACATCTTACCACTGGGATTTTTGCCCATTCCTCCTTGCAAAACTGCTCCAGCTCCTTTAAGTTGGATGGTTTGCGCTTGTGAACAGCAATCTTTAAGTGTGACCACAGATTTTCTATTGGATTGATGTCTGGGCTTTGACTAGGCCATTCCAACATATTTACATGTTTCCCCTTAAACCACTCAAGTGTAGCAGTGTGTTTGGGGTCATTGTCCTGCTGGAAGGTGAACCTCCGTCCTAGCCTCAAATCACGCACAGAGTGGTACAGGTTTTGCTCAAGAATATCCCTGTATTTAGCACCATCCATCTTTCCCTCGACTCTGACCAGTTTCCCAGTCTCGGCTGCTGAAAAACATCCCCACAGCATGATGCTGCCAACACCATGTTTCACTGTGGGGATGGTGTTCTTTGGGTGATGTGATGTGTTGAGTTTGCGCCAGACATAGCGTTTTCTTTGATGGCCAAAAAGTTACATTTTAGTCTTATCAGACCAGAGCACCTTCCTCCATACATTTTGGGAGTCTCTCACATGCCTTTTCGCAAACTCAAAACATGCCATTTAGTTTTTTTCCTGAGAGTAATGGCTTTCTTCTGGCAACTCTGCCATAAAGCCCAACTCTATGGAGCGTACGGCTTATTGTCGTCCTATGTACAGATACTCCAGTCTCTGATTAATGCCCTCCTTGCCCGGTCCGTGAGTTTTGGTGAGCGGCCGTCTCTTGGCAGGTTTGCTGTTGTGCCATGCTCTTTGCATTTGGTTATGATAGATTTGATGGTGCTCCAAGGGGATCATCAAAGATTGATATTTTTTTTATAACCTAACCCTGACTTGTACTTCTCAACAACATTGTCCCTTCCTTTTTGGAGAGTTGGTTGCACCAGAGTTTTTTATGGGCTTCATAACAAAGGAGATGAATACATACGCAAATGACAATTTTCTGTTTTCTATTTCTAAAAAATAGTTTTATGTATATATTTTTCTCATTTCACTTCACCAACTTAGACTATTGTGCTCTGATCCATCACATAAAATTCAGATTAATAAAACATTGAACTTAAGGCTGTAATGTAACAAAATTGGCAAAAAGTCAAAGGGGGTGAAGACTTTTGCAAGGCACTGTAAATGCTAATGATGATGATATTAAACGTTTTAGTGTTCCAGCTATTGCAGACAGCCTTTCCCACAATGCGCAGGCAGCCATTTCGCTGGATGAGCGTCAAAGGAAATACCATCCAGAACAGTTGGAGTGCTTCTTAAAGGATACACAATATATTGAACGGCTCTTAAAAATCTAGAAAATTTAGAGTCAGCCAGGGGGAAGGAGTTTAATGTTCGCATGGTCATTAACTAAAAGTTAATTTCAAATGTTAGGCCAAAATAGCTAAAATGATTAAATTAAACTATGTTTTCAATTCAGCTATTTCGGCCTAAAACGTATCACACTTAAAGTGAATATACTTGAAAGAATTTTAGCTAGCCTGAACGTTAATATCACAGCTAAATGTTTTACATTTTTTTTTATAAAGATGACTGTAAATGTATACACTGTTTAGATGGGCTGATAGCCGTGAGGTTATCAGCACAAACATGTTTCATGATGTGCTCACACTTTGATGTTTAGGGACAGTTCACCGGTGTCCTCAGATTTGAGACACAAGGTAACAAATCCAGGATGGTGAGACAGAATTAAAATTTTAGGACTGTCATGCAAAACCCTTGTTGGGAGGAACAGAATATAATTTAAATTCCAACACATACAATGAGCCGATATACCATCAGCTGCCATTTGACTGATTGGGAACAGGCATTTTTGTTGGGGTTTTTCACACCCCAGCTTGCAACAAGAGAGAGAGATATAAATGGCCTTTACCTGTCCCATCACACTATCACAGTGAGGTGAAGGGCAATACAATAATGGGGGCAATAGATCAATAAGCCCCCTTGTCCAACAATAGATGGACTAGAGAAGACCAGTCATCTGGTCCTAAAAGCCACAAGATGGGAGTGTGCCACAAAGATACCTTGCATTGACTTTCAAAGCCAAGCAAGTATAGTGCACCACCACAAGTCTTACCTAATGTGTAGAATAATATCAACAGAAAGTCCAAAGACCACACTTGACAGAGCTTCCAACTGTTTTTCCCCCCCTTCTTTTGGCTCAATAGCAAAAGAAGATGTGAGAAGGGGTAAAGCTGATGGACGCATGTGTTTTTTCAGCTTATGCAAAGAGACTGTATGGGATTTATTTCAAAACATTAAAAAGTATCATATGAAAATAAACAAGAATCAAAATTAAATTGTAGTACACATTCTGATGCGTAGAGCCCAGCTGCCAGTGGGTCCAGGTACCATCTAATGCACCATATACCAATCCCTCTTTTTTAAAACAGGCCAAGTTGTGTGACATCAAGGGCACTCCCAATCTCATTGAAACAGTTTCTTAAGGGAACAAAATTCTGTCTGTGCCTATTTGGCAAACAAATCTCTTTATGGTGTTATATGAAAAACAGTAAACTCTATGGAATGTTTAGATTTCATATCCAGGTCCTGTGCATCAATAGGTCAGGGTGTTTCACATTGCACCACTAATGAATAGTGAAAAAGTTCTGTTCTGCACAGGTACATGCCAAATTCTACCACCATTCTAACTAACTTTTGCTCTCATAGGTTCTCAGCATCCACAAACTAATCCATCCGTTTTTTTTTAGATATGTGTATGGGCAGTGAATATGAATGTGAGATGCTGAGTGTGAGATTAGGGGATACATTTTGGTTATTGCATATGACTGAGTGCACAAAACGCGCATACCTGCCACTATAGATGTATATTGGGATAGAATTTGGGAATACAGTAGTAAGACATATTATTATGGGTATAAGAATGGGGTAGGATTTTGGATTGGAGGAAAAAATTATTTTAAAGGCTACAATTACAGATATAAATTTGTGAAGAGGACAGGGATGGTGGGATACGATTGGGATACAGTATGACATTAAGATAAAGATGTAGGGCATGGGATTGGAGGAAAAAAAGCTGGGGTATAATATTCACTTAATAGGAAGGATAAACTGGAGTAGAACATTGGATTATGGTTACAAAATAGGATTAAAAGTTGATATGAAAGGTATGAAAATTGAGTATAATAAGGATTTAGTTGAATAAAGCTGGGGTAATGTTCATGAAATAAGGCATTAGGTTTGAGATGGCAAATTTGAGATAGAACAGGAGATTAGAGGATCCACGCGACTGGGATAGGAAGCTGTATAAAGAAATCTGATTATTGTTAGCTTGGGTTTGGGTTTAGGAAAATAAGACTCAGGTTAGGCATGGGATTAAGAAATAAGGTTGGCACTGGCCAAGGGATTGGGGTATAATTTGGGATCATTGGAACAATGCAAAGTGTGTTTAGGTATTAGGGGTGTATGGTTGGGATGTGGAAGGAGGCACTACCGATTCCTCTTCCTCCCCCCCTCTCCTACCCAGTAAATAAAGGGCTAAAAACCCTTTATTAACTTACCTTATCCCAGCGCTGATGACCATGGTGTAACGGCTACCCAGGTAGTAAGAGGGTATCAGCCGTTGGAGACGTCCTTTTCTTCCCACCAAGTCGCTGTATAGTAGTGGAGTCGCTTATTCCCATCCACTGGATCCAAGGCAGGAGTCAGGCAGAGCTCTTAAAAGAGCTAAGTGATTACGCTGCATATCCCCTTTCAATAACGAGACAAGGCTACGTTTTGAAGTGTCAAGAAGAACTGAATTTTAATGGCAGATACTCTCCTTTTATGTGATTTTGCCCATGCAAGGGAGACACCCACATAATTAACACAACGACCAATAAGACATAAGATACATCCCACACATCTCCTCCCCTCAGATAAGCTTGTAAAAGATAAATTGCTATTAGTCACCTAAAATTTATCAGAACAGATCCAACCCTGGCCACCCCCAGCCACACCCTTAAAAGTAAAGTGTCCTTCTTTCTACATTTGAAATGTTAGGAGGTGTGGTGCGTAGAGGGCCATAAGTGGATGGGCCAGTGACACCATGAATGTCATTGGTGATTTACTTAGTGACTAAACTGTCTGAAAAGGTGGTGCATACCTCCTGAGTGACCGTATTTAAGAGGGATAGTCCCAAATCCACCGGTCCCTTTTTACTGCCCTACTGTCCCTCTTTTCTTGGAGCTCATATTGTCGGTGTATCTGAGTGTATAACAGAGCTCCACAGCAATATTACTCCCAGTAAACTCCCTTAGCCATACCCCCACTCGCACCTCTAAAATTAAAGTGGCCCTCTTTGTCCATTTGAAATGTTAGAAAGTATGGTGTTGGGTCTTACTGACTTGAGTTTAAGTACGCTCTGTGCAAGTGCATCTAATATTTAAGGGTAACAGAAGTAGAACCCCGGAACACCAAACCAGGTTATAGGGACAGGGGAACTAATTATGTCTGTGAATTAATATTTTTGGAAAAGCTTTCCAAATGATTTAATATTAATGGATACATTTTAAAAATTATTTTAAACATATTAAAGTATCAAAAAAGCATCACAATTATAAATATATATATATATATATAAATATATTTTTTTAAATATCAAAATATTACAAAATTAAACTATTTTTAAGAACATTTATTCATTTTAAAAGTCTATTCAATGGTATTAAATAATTTGAAAGGCTTATCCAGCAATATTAAATTGAGGCCTATGTTAGTAGTTTTGGTCGACCGTCACCTGACTGATGGTCATACACTGTTGGCGCGTGAACAGGCTGTAAGAGTAATAACACAGTTTTGTCGCTGCAGCCATATTGTCGCTACACACGAATGAATAGATTTTTAGATTATCTGATCTGATATCGTCAATTTAGGTCTTTAAAAACTCTCAACATTTCAAATAGACAAAGAGGGACATTTTTAGGGATGTGGCTGGAGGTCTGACCAAGATGTGGAGTTATTTAGGACATTTTCAGTGACTTCATGATCTACAGATGATGTAGAGACAACCATTTATGTAACTGAAAATTTAATTTAAAACAAAATAAAAGTATATTATTTACACAGGCTAATCTCCAGGGCTCAAGTACAGTGGAAACTCTGTTTCCATACTTTCAGTAGGATTTATTTCTGATTCTAAATTACTAAATTTTTCTGCCATTTATGGTCTGCATCAATCATGCACACAATTTGCTTCCTATTTAGAGTCGGACATATATTGCATATGCAGTTTATGTCTGATTTAGCAATATATGCTCGGTTTCTTTTTAAAAGTGCAGAGACAGACCAGCAGAATACCTAGATTTAGGTGTTTGGCAGTCAAAGACTTGACACCTGCCTGCAGCTAAAACCACTCATGGAATCCCACTGAGATAAAGGGTTTTAAATTCAAATGGGGATTCCCCCACGGGCCTCTAGGCGACACACTGACTCACATAGTTTAGGACATAAACTTCTATTTACTGAAGACCAAAACAGACCTTTTACATATAGAATGTATAATTTTCACGTAAACGCAAATCAAGTACAAGACGGAGAGAGAGTGCAAAAAGGGTAACAACTGATCTTTTAAAGTGGATATTCCTTGTTTGACCAACTTGAACCTCGAAGGGTACATAGGCATGTTCACAATTGCATTTCTTTTTCCAAGAAATACACCAAATAAGTTGTAGTTCCAATAAACAATATACAGAAAGAGCCATGAAGGCTAAATTCCACAGATTATTCCAAAAATGGTACATTTACCTTTTGCATGTTTAATGGTACATGCTTTTTGCTGTTAAAACAAAATCTTCCTGTTTATGGGCAGAGGGAACCGAGTTCCCATACTTCTTACTGTGAATAGAGGAGAGGGGTGGGTCTTTTAAAATTAAAGACAAAGGCGGTTTCTGAACAGTTTAACATGTTCCATACGCACCACTACCTTTAAGTTGCTCTGTCATGGCATACTTACCTTAAAGGGACACTATAGTCACCTGAACAACTTCAGCTTAATGAGGTTGTTCAGGTGAGAACTATAGCTCCCTGCAGCCTCTCTCATGTAAACACTGTATTTTCTAAGAAAATACAGTGTTTACATTGAAAGCTAGGAACACCTCCAGTTGCAGTCACTCAGAGTGAACCAGAGGGACTTCAGAGTTGATGGAGGCATAATATGCCTCCATCCACTCAGATCTGCTGTCAGCAGAGCACAGGGCAGCTCTGTGCACAGCATCCTGTGATTCAGTATCTCCTCCCACTGCATGCAGACACTGAGCTTTCCTCATAGAGATTCATTGATTCAATTAATCTCTATGAGGAGATGATGATTGGCCAGGGCTGTGTTTGAATCATGCTGGCTCTGCCCCTGATCTGCCTCTTTGTCAGTCTCAGCCAATACTATGGGGAAGCACTGTGATTGGATCAGGCTACCACATGTCAGCAGACTGCTTGTTTTTCTGAGTATAACAGCAAGCAGAGTTACAGCTTCTGGCTTGAATACAGTAAGATTTTGATATATTTATGGAGGCATGAGGGGCCCAGGGGGGCTAGATGGTGGTGTTAACACTATAGGGTCAGGAATACATGTTTGTGTTCCTGACCCTATAGTGATCCTTTAATCAATTATTTTTTTCTTCCTGTCTCTAGTTCCATTCTTTTTATTTTTCTCCTAAGCTGCATAAGAAAAAAAAAGGGGGCTACTTTGTCTTATGTATTTTTCTGGTCAAAAGGCGAAGCTACAATAAAAAAAAAGAGTTACTTGCGCACTATTCCAAATCCCTATGCATATTTATATAAATGGAGGTTTCTAGTTACACTCCAATGGCCATTAGACGTCAGTCCACCTGCCATGTCAAGGCAAACCTCTTAGGTGAGTCCTATACAAACAGTTAACCTTGCTTGCTTCAGCTTAAAGTCACCTAAACAACTTTAGCTTAATGAAGCAGTTTTGGTGTGTAGATCATGCCTCTCATGTTTTACTGCTCAACCCACTACCATTTAGGAGTTAAATCACTTTGTTTCTGTTTATACAGCACTTGCCACACCTTCTCTGGCTCTGATTGACACAGCCTGCATGGAAAAAACTGGTTTCACTTCCATTCAGATGTAATTTACCTTAAAGGACCACTATAGGCACCCAGACCACTTCAGCTTAATGAAGTGGTCTGGGTGCCAGGTCCAGCTAGGTTTAACCCTTTTTTAATAAACATAGCAGTTTCAGAGAAACTGCTATGTTTATAATAGGGTTAATCCAACCTCTAGTGGCTGTCTCATTGACAGCCGCTAGAGGGCTTCTGCACTTCTCATTGTGATTTTCACAGTGAGAAGACGCCAGCGTCCATAGGAAAACATTGTAAATGCTTTCCTATGGACTGGCTAAATGCGCGTGCGGCTCTTGCCGCGCATGCGCATTCAGCCGGTGACGGAAGAAGAGGGAGGAGAGGAGGAGGAGAGCTCCCCACCCGGCGCTGGATAAAGAGGTAAGTTTAACCCCTTCCTCCCCCCAGAACCTGGCGGGAGGAGGTCCCTGAGGGTGGGGGCACCATCAGGGCACTATAGTGCCAGGAAAACGAGTATGTTTTCCTGGCACTATAGTGGTCCTTTAAACAATGTTATCTCTTGCTCTGTAAATGGAACTTTAATCACATACAGTAGGCTCTTGCATGGTCTAGCAAGCCATTAACTTGCAGGGGATTTGAAAATCTAAATTAAACATAACTTTCAATAAAGGAAGGATAAACATTAGATGGCTCTTTACAGGAAGTGTTTGTGGAAGGCTGTGCAAGTCACATGCAAGGAGGTGTGACTAGGGTTCATAAACAGAGTGATTTAACTCCTAAATGGCAGATAATTGAGCATTGAGACTGCAGGAGCATGATCTATACACCAAAATGGTTTCATTAAGCTAAAGTTGCTATGGTGACAATAGTGTCCCTTTAAGGCAAAAGAATCTCTAATGAGTCAGAGAGGGGTATTTTATTAAACCCCTACATACTTATTAACCCTTAATATGGTAAGCAAAGCTACATTTGACAAGTTTTGTCATTTTCCCAAGCTGTCACTAGTGATGGCTGAAGGGAAAAAGGCACAGTCTATGGAGGTTCTCATGGTCTCGCGTGATTCTCCATAGACATCAGTGTTGTACTCTTGTACATGCGCAAGAGAAGTTGTGTGGCCACCTGTCAGTATAGTCTTCTGCCTCCTCGGCTCTGCTGATGTAGGAGAGCATCTATCACTGGCTACCCATCGCAAGTAAAATTCCAAAGGGCAGCCAGTGAAAGTCTGAGTACATCAGCTGATACAAAGGTTTTCATGTTCAATGTTATCACACATAACATGATGATATTGGCTATTGGGAATTCTTCCCTTAGAGAAGCACTGAATTTAATGCTTCTTTGCGAGAATTGTGTGTTGATTGCCACACACATCAAATAGGTCCCCAATGCTTCTCCATTAAGAGGTGAAGCAGCGGCCTAGCCTAGTCTGGATTATTGGTAAGATTAAAGGAATTTTTACTTTTTCATTTTATTTTAAAGACAGCCACTAGAGGTGGAGTTAAGTCATTATTGCAGTTTCTTAAAAACTGCAGTAATTAGTATTTCTGGGCTAAGGGACCTGGGACAGTGCACCCAGACCACTTCAATGAACTGAAGTGGTCTGGGTACCTAGTGTCCCTTTAAGGTCAAATTAGCCAAAATGGAAAAATTCTCTAAATCAATTATGCTTTCCATTCACATACTCTGACCTTAAATTTGAAATGCACTTTGAATTCTAACTTTAATTTAGAAAGTATACATGGGGAGTCAGAAGAACAAGGGCTGGCCTATTCTGTACTTTGAACTGTCACTGCCAGACAAAGTAAAGTTTAAGTGCTATTGTTAGAACTATATTACATGTAAATACGACGCCGGATATGCATTTGTGCACTTTAACAATAAATATGGGTTTGACCGTTACAAAGCAAGATGATGTAAGCTAATTAATCAATCAATCAATGGGAAGGGGTGGCACACCTTGGGAAATGCAATACTTATTTTTTCAAAGGGACACTATAATCACCAGTGTAACTACATGTATTCCTGACCCTATAGTGTTAACACCGCCATCTAGCTACCCTGGGCCCCTCATGCCTCCATAAATATTGTAAAAATCTTACTGTATTCAAGCCAGAAGCCTTACTGTATTCAAGCCAGAAGCTGTAACTCTGCATGCTGTTAGACTCAGGAAAAACAAGCAGTCTGCTGACATGTGATAGCCTGATCCAATCACAGTGCTTCCCCATAGGATTGGCTGAGACTGACAAGGAGGCAGATCAGGGGCAGAGCCAGCATGATTCAAACACAGCCCTGGCCAATCAGCATCTCCTCATATGGATGAATTGAATCAATGAATCTCTATGAGGAAAGTTCAGTGTCTGCATGCAGTGGGAGGAGATACTGAATCACAGGATGCTGTGCACAGTGCTGCCCTGTGCTCTGCTGACAGCAGATCTGAGTGGATGGAGGCATATTATGCCTCCATCAACTCCGAAGTCCCTCTGGTTCACTCTGAGTGACTGCAACTGGAGGTGTTCCTAGCTTTCAATGTAAACACTGTATTTTCTCAGAAAATACAGTGTTTACATGAGAAAGGCTGCAGGGAGCTATAGTTCTCACCTGAACAACCTCATTAAGCTGAAGTTGTTCAGGTGACTATAGTGTCCCTTTAAGGCCTCTGTTAATCTCTTAGCAAATATAATAAAGGTTTTTTTTTATAATAAAGATCCAAAATGATGAATTTTACTGCTGTGAACCCTGATATAGACACACCAAAAATCTGCAGTTCTTAGAAAAGAGAGAGTCATTAGGAGAGAAATTTGGGACACTGTGATCTGGCCAAACTGGGGCTGGTCCTGACAGACACTAGGGAGGTATGATCTTAATAGTTATGTGTCCCTGTGAGCATCAACTTGTTTGTGTGCACACGTTGTTACGTTGCTGTGCAACACTGCTGAGTCAGACATTGACATTTACGCATCAGGCGTTTGGTTTCAAGGAGCTTAATAAGTATTGAGTTTTTTTTATATTACCGCAAAGACATTAAGTCACCTAATAAAAATAAAAAAAGAGAATATTTTTTTTATAGCACACCTGACATTCACAAAAAGTGAACGATAAAGCAGTTAAACATAATCGACACATTTTTCTAGTTAAATCTCTAGTGAATATACAAATTAAAATATACATTTACCTAAAACATTAGATATACTTTGTGAAGAGGAACACTGGGGAGTGGGATAAAAGGAGGAGGTTCAGAGGCACGATTCACAACACTTCTGCCCAAAAAACTGGCAGGTCAGTCTGGTGTGATAGAAAGTCAGGCTGCCTTCTAATCAAACATCCCACTAATAGCGGACACGGTTTCAGTGCTCTCGACGGGGTCCTAGTTCTCTGAATGTAGCACAAACGCATCTAACAATTTGCTTGTTTCGGGACAGTTCTCAGGTGTCCTAAAAAGCGGGACACCAGGGAGTAAAGTCAGGATGGCAGGACAGGACCCTGAAATCAGGACTGTCCAGCAGAAACCGGGATGGATGGGAGACCTGCATTTACCGGAAACACCCTGCTGCGTACTCCACGATGATCATCATACTCATGAATCACTCCCACATTTGCAAATTATTAGTTAAACTCTAGGAACAGTGGGATATTGCAGTTAAAATTCAGATAGGTAAGCGCTCATTTCATATTTACATTTTAAAGCAGTTTACCTATTTCAGTGTTTAAAGCGACTATGTCACCATCTGTGGTGTTTGCAAGTACCTGGTGGTGGTATCTGATTGCCTGGTGGGGAGTTTTACTTACTTGCGCCATCATTTTGATCCGCTGCCAGGAACGGACATTAGCGTTGTACTCTCAGGCATGTGTGAGAGTACAGCACTGAGGTCTTTGAAAGATGCCATGAGACCACAGGATCCTCCATAGACAGAGCATTTTTCCCTATAGCGGTCACTGGTGACTGCTGGGGAAAAGACAAGCGTGAGAAAAGGTAGCTCTGCCTTTTTGTCAAGCAGAGAACAAATACTGTGACAAACTAGACCAGGGATAGGCAATCTTCGGGTCTACTTCTCTCGTAATGCCCCTGCAGCCATTAGGCTTGCAAAGCATCAGGGGAACTGTAGTCCACAACACATGGAGTGCCGAAGATACATAACCCTGAATTATACCCTACTTTGTCTTAATAAATATTTTGTCTTTGTTAGAATTTCAGTGACACTGCAACACAGTCAATTTCAGTATTTCCTAAAGATTCTAAATTTTGGAGAGGAAAGGGGGGTTCCACAGAGCCGCTTTAAGATAATATCAGATTATCCATAAAAAGCTTAAATCTAAATATCTTAAAATGAACTATATGCAAGGTTTGCTGTGACGTCACACACATCTTGAGTGGTTACTAGACAGCAACTAGCGTTATAAGATTTCAATGTTGCTGCTACTTTTTACGGGCCAGCCACTACACACTAAAGTGCCTGTCGCTACTGTTAGCATGTAGCGGCTGTTTACCTACTCCAGAATTTCACCAAGTGCTCAATTGCTGCTGCTAACCTTCACAAATTAACACCAACTTCTTGGCTAACGAAAGTTAAATCCCAATACATTCATAAGAAAAATAAGTGTTAGCTATATAACATTGCACTGGAACCCTAAAGCATATCTTAAGGCAAATTAAACTATAATAAAAAGCAATAAAATTATGGAAAAAGCCAGACATATGATATAAAACATACAGTTATTCTTTATAAAGTGAAGCGCATAGCAGAAATTCAGCTCAAAAGTTATAGTTATTTATATGGCATTTCACAAAAAATCTAAAGCTATCTCCTGATAAGATGAATCACAGGGTTAAGTAAGCATGCTCAGGGTAAATCTTTTTTATTGGCAAGGTGTAGTTGCTATGGTGACAACATAGACTGTGTGTGTGTTTTTTTAAATTCACTTTTTTTATTGGGTGAAATCATTCACAATAAAAGTTACATACAGTTCTTAGTGGATCAATAATCATAAACATTGTATGACTGTTTTTCCTAGGCTAGTATTCATTTTGAGGCCAAGCAAGAAACTGTTAAGGCCTGATGCGTTTTCTATAAAAAGAATTGACCGTAAAATCGTAAAGGAGATAATAGTCCAAAGCATATGTTTCTATCGTTTAGCAGCCAGTGGCTAATCTGCAAGTGGTCGGTTTCTTTGAAAGCAGTTGTTTATGGTGGCCAGATAGTAACTAAAAGTGATGATTCTGAGAATAGTGACAGCTTACAGCACTTTTTTTTCTAACATGAGTAAAAAGCAATATACCAAACTTGTCAGGATGCAGGTGCAACCAACTACATCAGCAATCTCTGATTACGACTTTGACAATATGCAAGGCTTCCTTGAAGGAACACTCCAAGCACCATAACCACTACAGCCAGATATTATATTATTTATATAGCGCCAGCAAATTCCATAGGGCTGTACAATGGGTTATGGGTGCCAGAGGTACATTGAAATAGCCTCCCCCCCCCCCATTCATGTAAGGTGTCAAACTGTATTTGAACAGTCTGTCGTGTGGGCCTCCCTGTCTCCACTACGAACGTCAGAGAGCCACAAGTTCCTAAGCTCTCAGTTCAGAGCTTAGCTCATTGGCTTAGAGCAGGGGTAGGCAACCTTTGGCAGTCCAGTTGATGTGAACTACATATCCCCTGATGCTTTGCCAGCATTATGGCTGCAAGACCATTATGGGAGATGTAGTCCACAACATCTGAAGTGCCAAAGCTTGCCTATTCCTGACCTTAGAGCGATCAACGAGCTGTAGTGGTTATAGTGCTTGGAGTGTTACTTTAAAGGAATACTCCTAACCCCATAACAACTTAAACTCATTAGTTTTACAACAGTTTAAACTCAAAGTTGGGTAAATGGCACCTGAGCCAATTGGCTTCCTTCCCCTCCGATCTGCAATATGAGGTAGGTTTGTCTGGTTGGCCACCGATACAGAATATAGAACGTATATCTCTCAATAAGTGACCTGTGAGAAGCTTACTGACACTCTCAGCCTATCAGCGCCCATCTGGCTAATCCTTCCTCATACTGCAAAGCAGAGAGGAAGAGGTCTGGTAGGTAGAGCGCAGAACCTAAAACTTTGGGGTAAACTGCTGAAAAACAGATTAAAGCCTGAAGGTAAGATGGTGCACAGATCTCCTGACCCCATAACAACTTAAATGAGCTTAATTTGCTATGGAGGTGGGAGTGTTTCTTTAACTAGACAGATAGACAAATAGATAAGACAGATAGTCAGACAGATACTCTGTTACAGTAAAATTCACAGCACAACTTAAAAAAAAAAAAATCATTAAAAAGTGCATTATGGTCACATGCATGGACACTTAGTTTGCATCAGTCTGATGCACTAACAGAGTAATTTATTGCCTAATTTGGGAACTTCTGACTGATACAGCACCTTTGTGCTCTGTTCCGCTGCAAAAAGCATATTGGCATGGTAATTACGCAACAATGTCTACACACATGATCCTTCATTCATTGCAGAAACATTACCGCAAGTCATTGCAGATACGATGGGTTAATCTTTTCACATAATGATGGGAAAAAAAACATGTTCTCAGAATAAGAAGGAAAGTTTCCTGGACAACTTTAAGCTGGTACATGCAGTTCCCTGGTGATCTTGGATGTGCACAAATCATGTCCCTATGCACTATGCCACAATGCAGGGATTAAAGTCTCTATATTAAAAGTTACATTTGTTGACTCTAGAACTATTTACAGTTTCATAAATCAATTAATTGATGTCCAGCATCACTTTGTGAGCATTGCATTTTTTTCCCTTTTGTCCACAATCACATAGAGGAAATCAGCCCGTACAGTTTATTATAACTGCTCTGGATCTCAAAGGGTTAACCATAGCAGTTCCAAAGAGAAAGTGATACTCTGTCCTTTGGCATTGAAAAGTCAAATACAGTGTCCAGGTAGACTGTGACATGTGGTGAACATTAATGGGAACTTGCAAAAAATACATTACTACCATCTCAAATGAGAGAAATTTAAGGCCAAATTAGTCGAACTGGAAACATTCTCCATATTAGCTATGCTTCCAGTTCAATTAATTTGGCCTTAAATTTGAAATTCACTCTGAATTCCCAAGTGTTCTTAGTTTAGTGATTAACTTTGATAGACTAGATGCAGGCATAGGCAACCTTCGGCACTCAAGATGTTTTGGACTACACCTCCCATGATGCTTTGCCAGCACGATGGGTGTAAGTGCATTATGGGAGATGTAGTCCACAACATCTCGAGTGCCAAAGGTTGCCTATCCCTGCAGAGTTTTTAGAACATTGTAGTCAGAATAAACATCTGTGACCTGGCACAGAGGTTTATTTGCTGAACAGTGAGTGACTTGTGGTAAGCTCCAAGACTACAAATTTTAGACAAAAATAGCAGAGTTTAAAGAGAAAACGCCAATTTGTTTAGTTTGTAATTATTTCCATCTCAGTTATTTAGCAAGTCAGTTATCAACTCATTGCAACTCACTGTTTAGTGAGTTAGCTCTCCTGGGTGACTTTTTCCAACTCTAAGTTAAGAGTTATTTCTGCAACAACAACACAGACTAAAGTAAGAATTTAGAGTGAACTTTAAATTCAAGGCAAAATAGCCAAACTTGGAATTTTTTCTAAATCAGCTATCCTTCCAGTTCGGCTATCATGGCATAACAATTTGAAATTCGCAGTCAATTCACTTTGAATTCTCACTATAGTGAATAATCTTGTCAATTTTACGAATAATACCACACAAAAGTTAAGCTATAATAGCTGATGTGGCAATTTTGGCATAAAACTTTGCAATTGCCTTTTCGATTCTCTACCTTTACCAATTTCATGAGTAACGGTTAGACTTGTTAAATAGTAACATATTTATTTACCTCCCACACATATTGGATGAGTACAGCACTGTATGGAAGCACGTGCAGGGTCATTAAACTTAAGGATGTACTTATAGTGCTCCCAATTGGTGTATTTTCAGCAAAATATTTCAGTCGATTTTTTTAATGTTTGTTAAACTTAATGGAGTATTTTATGGCTGATCACAATACATTTACAGTATAGCAACTAGTGTATAACATATGATGATCTGTTCAATATGTTTGTGTTTACATCAACTACTAAACTTAAAAACAGTGACAGGCCTCTTGGGGAATGGTAAATAAAATGCATGAAATACAACACATGCACTCTTTTAATCAATTAAACAAACTGAAGTTTTATCTCCGAGAAAAACCCCCCAAAAAACGTAATGGAAACTACTGAATATGATAATCCAACGGACATGAGATATACAGATGACAATTGATTTTTTTGTTTCATATAGTTCCATCTATCTCACAGTGGGGGCAATGTATAACAATAATTCTGGGTCACATTTCTGAAAATGGAGCAGTTAGTATGAATGTTCTATTGGTTTCTATGGCAACTGCACATCTTTTAAGCACTTTTACAGATAATTTTGATTTGTACATAACAAAAGAGTGTACTTAAAGGCATTACGTGGAATTAAATCGCAAGCTTCTGTGACATTCTTGTTGTACTCAAAAGCAATCAAACGGCAAGTTTTTACAGTAAGGCAAATCGAATACAAGCTTGGCCTAACAGGGTTATTTACTAAATTGAGAATTCAAAGTGAATTTCAAATTTAAGTTCAAAATAGCAGAGCTGAAACAATTCTATAAATCAGCTATGCTTTCAGTACAGTTACTCTGACCTCAGATTAGAAATTCACTTTGAATTCTCACTTTAGTACATGTTAGTGTTAGATAATTTATCTATATTGACCTTAAATTTGAATTTCACTTTGACTTTGAATATTCACTTTTGTGAATAACCCTGTGGTTTTGCAATATGTAACTAGTCTTGTGACTGTGCTCTTTATTTAAACCAACAATGATGGCAAATTGCAAATAGATTACAAGATGGAATATTTAATTAAGCTTAGATCGTTTTATTTAATTAAAGACTTGACAGGAACAAGGCAACTGAATGCCTCTGGGATATTTGTTTCACTCACATATTAAATACATGCAAACTGATGTGTGGTGAATGCAACATATTCTTAGATTGCAAGCTTTTGAGACAATGAAAAATCAGGACATGTCTTTCCTTTGTAAAAATAAATTGTAGAGTGACTTATAGAAGGATATTTTATGACTAATACATACTGAAAAAATACAATTCTGTCACAAACTGTACAGAACAATTAGATTGCAAGCTCTTATGGTATTATCATGGCAATAATGTTTTTTTTACAACTCTGTGAAAACAAATATGCATAGAAACATTTTGGTGATTATTAAAAAAACAAAACAAAAACGAAACATTCTGAAAAGTGCAAATGAATGGTGTCTCACATTATTTTAACTGCATTATAATGAAGTGCTTGTTCTATTCTGAATGCATGTCAGCTGATATACTGTAAAGACCAATCAAGATTGCACAGACTAAGAAAATCTAGTTTAACCCAGTGTTTGTTTTGGACAGAATAAGAGAAAATTTAATTTATTTTAAAAAAAACTCTTCCCGGACAGCTCTCTGTATAAGAACTGCCGAGATAGAGGAGAAGACGCTGCTTGGGCAATATAATTAAAATATATAAATACATAGCAAAAAAACAAGACAGCTTTCTTACCTTTTAACATCCTATAATGGCTTGGCTTATCTTGCACCCATCAAAGTAGCTCCTATGCAGTTTGACAGGAAGGTCAACAGGGAGCTTGGTGCATCTAGGTAAGCATGTGTCAGTTATATATTTACAAACACACAGATCTAGAAAAAAAAATGTATAAATATAATAGTAAAATAAAATAGTAAAAGTCGTTCATAGAGATGTCAGATTTTCTTGGCCGATTTTATGCAAATCTACAGGTGAGGAAGATATTTTATTTTAAGGTAAATATAAATACATTGTCCATAAATAATAATGCTGAGGGTTCTAAGGTGCTTTGTCTGTAAAAGTCGGATTCAGTCTGCATTCTTCTTGTAATGTTCCTATTGGAAGTCAGACCCCACTTCAGCACATTCTAAGCTGTACTTTTTTTCGAGGGGGGTGAGTGGGGCGTTATTTATTTCGGTTTTCGTGTGTGATTGGTCGGCTGTGGGCCCTCCGATGGATGTGAATGGCTACTCGCCTCTCTGTGTCCCAGCTGAGCCCTCCTCCCTCACTATTCCTGGAAGTGCCTGGGTGATGTTGGTAAGGGGGTGGACTTCTAATCCTCTATCTCTTTTATTCCCTTTCCCTGCAGTGTAAATGTCATTACAAACACAAGCTGAAATGATAACAGGAAGCCCCCCCCATACTCCCTCCCCACCACCCTTCATATATTCTTTTTTAGATATATATTTTAATAACATTAACTCTTTACTTCTTTATGTTAATAGTTGCAGTTCAATGCAAAGCAGTTGCATGCAAGCTTTCATGTAAACTCTATATGCACGATTAAAATAGTTTATCATGCTTCTCAATGTGGGTTAATGACTTGATGTGGGAAGGAATGGGGGAGGAGAGGGGGGGTTTGAATAATTCTAAATCTTTCTTACCTTAGGCTAGAAGGTAGATGTCCAGCTTTGGAATAGAAATAAAGCTGGCAAAGCATCATGGGTGTTGTAGTCCACAGTGGTAACACATTTTGGGATTTATAGTTTACAGCAGCTGGAGGGATCTACTTTTTGATAATCTCCCCCCACCCCCCACCTGCCTTGGGTTATTGCCAGTTATTTTAACTAAGTAATTAATAACTGAAACTGTAATTTTGCAAGAAATATAATAACTGCCCCCCCTTAGGAAAACAAGTATTTTTGTGAATTTAGACTTTGATACTGCATGTATCTTACATCAGAATAGGCTAGTGCTTTAAAGGAACATTATAGTCGTCACCCAGTTCACTTTGTATCTATGAAATGGTCCGCTGTGCAGTAGTCCTGTCAGTTTAACCCTGCAATGTAATTTGAGAAACTGCAATGTTTACATTGTAGGAAAAAAATCCAACTCTAGCCACTAGAGGCTCTGCTTCCTCCAGACCTTGGTCTGGATATCAAATGCTTCTTATAGTAGCGTTTGATTGGAGGAGAGCGCAGGTTGGTTGCACATGTGTGCCTCCAATCCATTTCTTCACAGAGCAGGTCGCGTGTTATCTTAGATGCTGACATCACTGGAGGCGGTGTTGGAGGCAGCAGCGAAGGAGTCCCAGTGCTGGGAAGGTTTTTGAGGAAACTTTAACTTAATTTTTTTAATCCAAAAGGGTGTGGGGGGCAAAATGGAGCAGTGCGGAAATATTGGTTGTTAATTTCGGGACTGTGGGTTCACTGTAAATAATGTAGTAGTTTGTTTCAATATAATATATATATATATATATATATATATATAGAAAATAGAAAAAAGATCTTGCACTCCATGTTGTATTCAGATACTTGCCTGGTGCTCGTCAGGCCCAATGTACAGAAAGTAATCCAGATAGCACTCTCAGGTCTTTGTAAAAATAAAACATAGTTTTTAATTAGCTTGCTATAAAAATATTAACGTTTCAGTTTGTTACACAAACTAACAAATTGAAATGTTGATTTTTTTAATGACAAGCTAATTAAACGCTAAGTTTTATTTTTACAAAGACCCGAGAGTGCTATCTGGGTGTGTGGGGGTGTGTGTGTGTGTGTGTGTTTTGCCCTACCCCATTTCCAAGGTTTGCTTATAGGATATTTTGTGTTTTTTATTTTGGCACCCAATGAGTAAAGATGAACTTGTCTTAAATAAAAAGTACTGTAGTATGTAAAATGACTCTTTAATAACTTACCTGAATGCTTGATGGGTTTTAAAAAATGTGGTTACATATGTTTTGCTTGTCTACTTGTAGTTCGGCCTTTTAATTAATTAATTTATTTATTTATCTTCATGCGTTACAATATGTTTGCTTATCTGCAGCATAATCTCAGTGTTCGGGAAGGACATTGCAGAACAAGTTTGGCCAAGTACAGTATAAGTGTGCTAATAATTCACTGAAAATGACACAATTCCCACAGGACGCAAATAAATAAGGCAAATAGCATGTGCTTGTGATTTCCCATGCAAGCTTAAAGGGGGAGTATTATTAAAAATGACACCCTATTTTTCATGTATTACTGACAATTCATTCAAAATATACACCTTTTGAGTTCCATTCACTCAGATTTCAATTGCAGACAGGCTCCCTCAGTGTGAATAGGTTAAACAAGTAGGAGTAGTTGTTTCTTGGTGTATGAGGTCTGCAGAAGTTTATGGATAAGTAGTTTATCCCCCAGAAGCAGTTTCTCTCATCGTATAGGATGAGTGAAACTGCTGAAACTATTATCAGTCCTACACCTACTGCAGCTGTTATCAATTTGTTCACAGCCGATTAGTTGTTATCTAAACTGCATTGTTTACAGCAACCAGCCGAACCATGATCCGCGCATGCACATCTTCGAGAAGGTATGCCTGATTGACATCTCTCAGGGGCTGGCTTACAGCTTCATCAATTCTTATAAATTGCTGCAGTGAGTCGCTCTCAGAGCTGAGATCATGGAACACACTTATGGAATCTATTTGTTGAAGAAACATTCCAAGCACCGTAATCACAATAGCCTGCTGCAGACGTAATGATACCCGGAGTGCACCGGTGCCATCCCAGGGTACATAGTAAAACTGGCTGAGAACAGTTTGACAATTTACCAGCTGTCTAGCAGGTGGCTGCTGCGGTTTCTCGGCAGCTTCTCTGCTGAGCTAGGCTTAGTAGCCTGTGATGGTTATAGTCATTTGAGTGCTTGTTTAAATAGCCGGTAGTGTTAAAAACTGATTTTCTGAATATTAAAAAGTCGCTTTCAAAATAATTTGCTTTCACCAACATTTTGCTAGCCAGTTCTCAAGTCACCACAAGTTTATTCTAGTAAGTAAGCCCCCTCTATGTCTATTCAGACATATTCTTTGGCATTGATATAGTTAATTACCAGATTTTACTATTAACATAACGTAAAGTCATGATTTTATTAATGACACGGAGGCGAGTACTATGCATTCTCTTTCTTTATTATACTCCCGGCAGCAAGAAAAGGAAGTATGAGAGAATCATAGAAAAAAACATAACAATAACCTGGTAACAGTGGCACCAATCAGCATCCAGTATTATATGGGTGTGGTGCTCCTTGACTCCTCCTCTTTCTGTGTAGGTCCCGAAGACCATTATTGTAAGTTTCAAGGTATTCCAACAAGAAACACGAATTCCCGAAACAAAACCATAACTGGAAATTAAACCATGAACAGCTTCCACCGCCAATTCTCAAAGGTGTATTCAAGCTAAAAAACAAAGAAATATATAGTAATATCGAAATCTCGTGACTGCTATTCCGCAATTATTAACTCGTCAACCGTGTTATTCAATCGATGTAAATATCAAACTCGTCAACCATGTTATTAACTCGAAATAAGTATGAATATGACATATAAGTCATATTCAACGAATACCTACTCACCTGGTTGCCATGTATGACCTTGTACCTACCGTATTATTTCATCCAAGAGGCCCCATGACTGGCCTGCAACTTAATCACCACCCTGGGTAGGGTGGGTGGGAATAATACTCGCCTCCGTGTCATTAATAAAATCATGACTTTACGTCATGTTAATAGTAAAATCTGGTTATTTTATTAAAGACACGGAGGCTCCTATTATGCTATTTTAAAGCCGAGTAACCACCAAGCTGGAAATATGTTGCACTGGGCGAAAATAGAAATGACGAAAAGTAGACTCATTCGACCAGTCGGCTGCTCGTAGGATATCTTCCAATCTACAACCTATCATGGAAGCCTTAGAAGCAATAGCCACGCGAAAGGAGTGTGAGGAAAAAATTGAGGTGTCTATGCCTGCCATGGACAACAACCATTTGATCCAACGAGCTAAAGTAGGAGTAGATACTGGTAGGTGAGGTACTTTGAATGAGATGAATAATGGATAGGCTTGATTTGAACGGAGCGAGATCGTACAGCGCTCGTATTCTTTCAGAAATAACACCAGGCACAGATTTGGGTTGTCTGGAAATGAAGGGTAGAAACTTCCTTAGTCGAGGATTTCGTCCTGCATGAAATATTAAATGATTCTCCGTTCGGGACCAAAACGCGTGCACGCCAGTCTAACGTTCTGACATCAGCAACCCATTTACATGACAGTAAACAAAACAGCATCAACAGCTTGGCGGACAATTGTTTTAGAGAAAGTCCATGGTTCAACGGGCAAGATTCAAGAAAACAAAAAATCACATTAACATCCCAAAAGGAAGAATATCGAGCCTGAGGGGGTCGAGCAAATCGGATGCCCTTGATTAAACGACAGATAAGGGCACGTTTACCTATTGGAGTACCATCCAACCCTATATGTCTTGCCAATATAGCAGATCTAGATCTGTACAGGTTTATAGTACGAAAAGCTTTTCCTTCTTCAAAGAGTAGAGTCACGAATTGTAGGATTGTTTTCACAGAAGCTGATATGGGATCCACTGATTGTCCCACGCACCAATCAGTCCACTTCCTCCAAGCCGACCCGTAGGAACGTCTGGTACATGGTGCCCACGACTCTGCCAAGGGACTGAGTGTCGTCTGCGAAACCTCCTCAAGATTCCATGATCTCCTGAAATGAGCCATGCTATCAGATGAAGTAGACCCTGGTCGGTCATATCGTGACTCATTCCCTCTGGATTGGTCAGGAGGTAGGGTTTGTCCGGCAATAGCCATGGAAAATCTATTGACATTTCCAATAACTGTGGAAACCAAGGTCTTGACCTCCATATCGGGGTTATCAGGGCCAGAGTCCCTCTGGAATATTGAAGGACTACCAGGGTCCGAGAGTTTAGGTTGAAAGGTGGAAAAGCATAATTCCTGCCCTTGGTCCAGTCTTTTAAGAATGCATCTGTTGCCAGAGCATCTGGGTCCGGTCTCCAACTGAAGAACTGAGGAAGGTGGGTGTTCAGTCGAGACACAAAGAGGTCTATATTGAAAGGCCCCCAGAGTCGAGAGTCGTTGGGAGATCATTGGGTGGAGATGCCAATCTCCTGCGTTTTGAAGGTATCGAGAATTCCAATCCACCAGTGTATTGTCCTGTCCTGGAATGTATTCTGTTATTACCGAAATGCTGTGTTTCAGGCAATAATGCCAAAAATCTCGAGCCATCAGTGCCAGAACTTTCGAATTCGTCCCTCCTAGGTGGTTGATATAACGCATTGCTGAGACGTTGTCCATCTTGATTAGGATAGAGCATGAGATGCCTGTAGGGGTCATGCTGCAAATGGCAAAGGATGCCGCTAACAGTTCTAGGCAGTTGATGTGTAACAATGTTTCTTCGTTGGACCATCTGCCACCGGTGGAAACTGACCCGCAGTGCACGCCCCAGCCGTGTAAGCTGGCGTCTGACTCTATGACCAGATCTGGCGTCGACCCAAATATCGCCCGTCCGTTCCATGCCTCCATGTGGGCTAGCAACAATGTCAACTCCTCTCTGGAGTCTTTGTCCAGTGTTTCGTACGAGTGTCCGGAGCGCAGATATGAGGCTTTGAACCTTTATAGGGCACGATAAAGTAACGGCCCCGGGAAGATCGCTTGTATGGACGATGCCAATAGCCCTATGATCCTTGCAAGTTGTCGGAGGGAAATGTTCATACGATGCATAAGTCGTCTGATCTCTTTCCTGATCGAAATCATTTTGTCTTTGGGTAGACACAACCTCTGTTGTATAGAGTCTACTTGAAATTCCAGAAATTCCATGCATCTGGAGGGTTGGAGAACTGATTTCTCCCAATTCACCAAAAATACTAAATTGTGGAGAAGGTGGGTTGTCCACGACAGGTGAATACGTAGTTGGGATTGAGACTGGGACAGAAGAAGGATATTGTCTAGGTAAATTATTAATCTGACCCCTCATGTGCGCAGGAAGGCAATCACTGGCTTCAGTACTTTTATGAAGCACCATGGAGCAGAGAAGAGGCCAAATGGTAGACATACAAACCTCCACTTTGTTCCTTGCCACTGAAATTGCAGTAGGTTTTGATGTGCTTCTGCGATAGGGATTGTCAGATAAGCATCCCGTAAATCTACTTTGACCATCCAATCTGATGGTAGGAGGATGTCCCGAAGGCAATGAATACCCTCCATTTTGAAATGGTGGTATTGGACAAACTCATATAGGGGTCGGAGATTGATTACTGGGTGTAACGGCCCCCTTTCTTGGGGACCAGAAACAGGTTGCTCACGAACTCTTCTGTGTCCCATGGGATTTGTTGAATAGTGTGTTTTGATGCCAACTCTGTGATCTCCGCTGAGATTATCGTGTGGTGTTCGTTGGTCATATTCAGTTGTCGAGGGAACTGCATCTGAGTAGGGTGAGAGATTAGCTCCAATAGGTACCCCTGTATTGTATTTAATACCCAAACATCTGAGGTTAGAATTTTCCAAGCATGGTGAAACAATGCCAGTCTGCCCCCCACTTTTACATGGGAAAAACGGAGATACTCGGTACTCACCATAAGGTCGTCTGTCTGAGACAGACCCCCGCGGTCGGCGGGAGTTCCAGGGGTGTCCACGAGATGGGAAGAATGGGGTATAGTTTCGCTCCGGTACCGGTCTCTGGGTATTAAAGGAGCATCTGCCGGCTCTAAATGATCCTCGAAATCCACGGCCGGATAGACGGCTCCTACCTCTACCGGCCCCTCCAAAAACCAGAGGTGCATATACTCTCTTAAGAGAAGTCTGAGCTTTGTCAATTGCTGTAAATGTTTTTACGTACAGCCCAAGATCCTTAATAAAGGATTCACCAAAAAGTAAGCCTTTAGCGGCTGGGACCGGCTCATTGGTCCCCATACTGACCAGTTTGGGCTCTATATTCAGGATAATCGCCTTGCGGCGTTCGGTTGTCATAGCCGTATTGGCGTTACCCACCTTGCAGACTAACCTCTGCAACCAGCATTTCACTACTTCGAAGTCAAAGTCACTTTCGCCCGATTGGGCAGATTCCACTAACTCATTGTCACATCCTGTTCCTCGCTGCGGATCATTCTGGAAATGACTTCTGGTATCCAGTACCCTTTTTACTATCCTTGCTTAGTTTTTCTTGGTTTTTCTGGTTTTCTATTCCATGTCTGGTTTTCTTTATGCTGGGATTTCTGGGTTCATTCCTGGAATCCATCCATTCTCCAGGTTTCCTTTAAATGTTTGTTTTATGTAGCCACACCTGTTTGTTTTCCATTTTCCTTTTGTTTCAATCTGGACCTGCAGCAGTGTTTCAAGTCTCTGCCCTTCCTTGCAGGTAAGTGCTATTGTGGATTAGTATGGTTCTTTTAGCGAACATTAGGCAGTGTTTTGCCGAATATGGGGTACATTGGCGTTGTGGCAGGCTTATGATCATATAATGTAACTAAATCCCCATACTTTTCATATATAGTTCTTAGTTATGTCTCCTCTTGTTTTGCCTATCTTATCTTGTCTTGTTTTAGTTTGTATACCCAGTCCATGTACAGTCCTGTCCAGTCATGCCCATGTTATGTTCATGTTTCCCTCATGTCTTGTGTACATGTTCTGGGTTTAGCTTCCTATCTTTCTCTGGTTCTGGGTTCTATTAGTTAGTTGTTTTTCATGTTTGGTGCCTATCTCTAGTCTTGCCTTGTTTTCTGTACTGGATACATTCTTGCTTCAGAGCCTCCCTATTCAGCTCCTGGGAGGTCTGCTTATTCCTAGCCCCTAGTTCCTGGGATCCGCATAAGCTGAATCAGGGTTCTGGTTTGTGGCTGCACAAATGCTGGTGCTCAACACCAGGGGGCGTGCGGTTACCCAGCACCAGATCCTGCTAATCCACCTCCACACTGTGACTCCTACTCTGAACATCAGGCATACTGGGTCCCGGTCCTCGCTCCACCTCCCGGACAGTGTCTGGTTCCCGGGCACCGGACCGCCACACTGACACTCATATAGCTTTGAGATGGGCCCTAAAGTGTCCAGGAATTTGTCCTGGCAGTTCAGAAGAGAACAGTCTAAGCCTTTCCTTGGCTTCCAACCAGATGTTTAAGAATTGGACCAACTGGGGGTCCACGTCAGGTGTTTTTCCCACTGAGTCTGGAAGGATGGGCCGTGGGCATTCTGCCCGTAGCTTGTTACGCCCTTCCTTAGATAAAGGTTTCTGCACCCTTAACGCGAGGTACTTCGCTCCCATTCCGCTGAGCGAGGGTGACGGAGGTTATCTGGGTCAAATAACGGGTTACCCAGAGGGTCCTGCAAATCGTCGCCCTCGCCAGATTCAGCAGGCTCAGCGCCCTGAGCAGTAATCTTCTGGGTCGCAATGTTTGCTTTCATTTCGGACCCAGAATCGGAATATTCCGCACTGTAATGGTCCATATAGGAATCATCATATTCCTCCTCCAAACTCCGGTCCGAATTGGACGAGTCCTCATGGGCATGTGCCCGCTTCCAAGCTCTGGCCGATTTTGCCCGGCCAGAGGCTCTATTGCGTGGTGGTATCGCGCCATCCTTGACAGCCTGAGGCGTGTCATTCCGTGCAGTTCTGGAGGGGAGGCCATATGTTTGCTTTTTGCCAAAGCTTTGCGTCTCGGTTGTGCCACATTAGTGGTTCTCGGGTTTTGCGTGCTCTGAGAGCCACTACTCTGAGTCTGCATCAGTGCTCTGGTTATAGATTGAGTGATAGAGGATGACATGTCCCCCATCGCGGAGGTCAAAGCCCTGTTAATGGACTGTGCCATGAAATTCCTCCGATGCCATGAGGCTGGCGTCATCCGTACATTCCCTGCCTGCGGGGGAAACCCCTGGTGTGAGACAGGGAATTATATACCCAAGTATAACTCAAGGTCAAAATATTGGGCTCAATAAAGTAATGCTACTAGTAGTAGCTGACTGATTAAGGAGAAAACAGTATCTGCATTAACCTGTTAGGGAAATAATGCTAGCTAGATAAAGAACAAAAAGGGTGTCGGGATAGATTAATCCTCCACACCAACACTTACAGTTTGACCAGCAAATGACAGCAAACAACAGCAAACGACAGTAATGACAGCAATAATAGCTCAGCCTGGATTAGACCGCAGACACAAACGGAGATCAGCTCAGGTTATTCCGGCTGTACCACATTAGAAACTGCACAGCAGGGAAAGAAATAAGGGGAAACACTACCCTGAGGTGAAAGAAACTGGGGTTCCAGAGACCCCAATAGGCAGCACTCCCAGACACCAGTAGGGTATAAACCCAGCAAAAACATACATTAAAGCATAAATCTGCCACCAAATAGACATAATTGTACAAGGAATCACAGGAGTAGCAAGAGATGGAGTACTTAACTTGTCTGAGGGAGCAGCAAGAAAGAGGAGGAGTCAATGAGCATCACACCCATATGGATAATACTGGATGCTGATTGTGCCACTGTTACCAGGCTATTGTTATGTTTTTTTTCTATGATTCTTTCATACTTCCCTTTTTCTTGCTGCTGGGAGTATAATAAAGAAAGAGAATGCATAATAGGAGCCTCCGTGTCTTTAATAAAATCATATTACTGCTGGTACAGGCAGCTCCCATACTAGCTGCCATACTATAGCTACTATGTTATTAACTGTAGCTATTGCAGTTGCCAAATTCTCCTGACAGCAATACAGCTTATGATGATGATGACTACTCCAAGTTGCGACATTCCAGTGAGGGCTGGCGTGCAGTGATTTCTATGAATATTCGTATTTGCAATATTCCTGTTAATGATTTCGTTATTGCTGTGACCACAAGGAAATCCTGAATTAATATGAATTAATCATGCCAGGATATGCTCATCATTCAGGATTTCACATATCTGGCGATTGGCCTATTTATGGCATTATTTCTAAATAATACCAAAGTCCTGTATAAATAGGCAAAAAAAGGGGCTCACCCTCTTTCATCTGGCCAGCAGTGCAGTTCAAGCTTCCCAAATGTATTGCCTTTCTGTGTTTTTTTAGTTTAATCTAAAGAGAAACTGAAGAAGCAGAGTTTGGTCTATACTATAGAGAGCAGCCACCCCACAAGGGATTTAAAGCCTTCATTAAATATATATTTACTAGAAATTATTTAGGCCATATGATCTACTGCAGGCAATAACTTCCATTTTAATCACATACTTCCCAACAATGGTATGGATTTGGGATGGGGTGGGCAAGGGCCCTGAGGAGGCATCACCAGTGACACGAATGTTACCTGCAATGCGCATGATTGGCGGCCCCTAGCCTTCAGGACCATGCAGAGGGAGCTGCTGAAGTGCATCTAGTGAAACGGCACAAGTCCCCAAATTCGGACTTGTCGCCGAAAGTATGACTGTTGGGAGGCTTACCATCAAATTTCAAAAAGCCCTGAGAGGCCTTACAAACAACATATCTGTTACAAGCAATAACCTCCATTTTTTTTTTTTTTTAATTCTTTATTTTTTGCGTGCAAGAGTTAACAAAGCAGCTTACTCTGCCACAATGACATACGTAAGCGTGGTCATAACACATTGATTTTAGAATTATGGCATTTAAAGTAGTGCACATTTTTTGAATATAGATGCTCAAACAAAACATAGACTACTATAGATTACAATTTGCAGTTGAACTTGCTAGCTTAATCTGCGCATTTTATGAAAAGTAAACAAACTAGATAGGTACAGTGCTAGAGGGTTAACTATGTGGAGCAGGAGGTAAAAACACGGATTTAAAAATTAAAAGTTAAGAGTGAAAAGTAGTAAAACCCCCTGCTACATTAGCATCTTAGCTTAATATGCAGACCTCCATTTTGGCTGCGAGTGATAGGATTTTTAAGGAGCAAAACTGAACATAGTAAGAAAACGAAATAATATATGTCATCAGACATTTGTGTGAGTTCCAGTGGGGCAAAAGGAGTTATGTGTCTGATTATACTATCTGGGTTAGAGTCTCAGTCCCTTTTGGGTCAGCCGATGCCTTGACGGGGCTGGGTGGGTACCCCCTGCTGTAGGTGGTGCAGCTGGTGCGATCTCCTTGGCGTGTGGGTGCTGAGATCCCCTGGGCTGTTCTGAGTTGCTGTGGGTGCTGTGTGTAGCTTCACCTGCTTTGTTTGGGGTGGTCTTGTGCTTGTCTTCGGCGGTTCCCCCCGCTTCCCCGCCTTGCCTGGGAGATGCCGGTGTTTGACCACTCGCCGCCTTCCAGCATCCGCTTTTTTGGGTTGTGCGTGTTGCCTCTGCCCCTGCCACTTCGGGTAAGTGTCGCCCTTTTGCTGCCTCTGCCGTTGGGGCTGTGTTGCTCTTTTTCCCCGTCTGGCATCTTGTGGGGTACCCTGTGGCGAAGTCTGGGGGATCTCTTCAGGCTCTAAACCTCTCATGTGGGCTTCTAGGGACTCCCAGAAAGCAGTGAATATACTGTTTAGTCGCCTCTCAGTTTCCCGCCATGTATTAGACGTGTCGGCGATGCGAGATGCTTCCGCCATCTTGGTGGTCTCAGGGACGGTAGCTTTTGGGCTGCATGGAGCCTGTATTAGCCCATTGCTTCGCCCAGGAGTCGTTTGGGGGTGGACCGGGATGACCCCCACCGGTCCAGAGGGGGGGGAACGAGGGCTTGCAGTCAGCTTTCCGGCGTGGCCTTGCTGCTGGGGATCGGCCGCCTCCCCTGCGCCTGCCACGCTTGTAGGCCTCATTGTGTGCTGTGCTCAGTTCGTTGCTTGAGAGGTACCGATCTCTGCACCTCGGTGTCCTCTCTCGAGTGGTAGCTTTGAGGTCACGATTAAGTGCCTGTGCGGCAGTTAATTTTAGCGTTAAGTGCCCGGTTTAGTAGGAGCTGCTGAGATGAGCGTCTGCACAGCTCTGCGGTTAGGCTCCCCCCCCCCCCAATAACCTCCATTTTTACTATGTGTTATTCCACCTTCCGTACACTCCTCCCATCCACAATACTCTTTCTCTACAGTGTGTGGCATCTTCCCCAATCACATGTCTGTACAATCTGTGCAGGTGCTCTAAGGTTCCCCGTCCATATGCATGTAACATATACATTGTGTATACATGCAGGATATACATTCTATATATCTTTAGCATTTATCTATACATTTAACTGATTTTGTTGTTTTTAAAGATATTCTAATATTGTGAATTTCATATACCCCTAGACTATCCTGCTTATTCCTGATGTTTGGACATCATGCTCCTTGATGGGAAATGTACCACCTATGCTTTGAGGACTGAGCAAAACCAGTGAGTATATTTCCAGTTATTTTTCACCTTATCAAGTTACTGTGAGCCCTATATTGTTTCTTGTTTTTATCTGCACATTCTACAGTGAGGATTCCAGCCACCAGTAGATCTTAGAGTATGGATTATACCACTCCAAGCCAACTGTTGGGAGCCATTAGAGGGCTCCATTAAATGTGAGTGCAACTATAAATATCTACTCACGTAACCTATCACATTAAATATACTACACTATATTGGTGTCTATTTTGTTTAATTTTCTCATACCGTCCAGATCACATACTATTGGCTCAAGTGATATACCACACATCCTTACGTGGGGATCATGCTGTCAGAATTGGGGTAACCCCAACACACAGGGAGAAGGATATTAGCCAAAATAGAAGGAAGAACAGGATACGTATACCAGGCCTTAGAGTGGCTGGATTTAATGCCTAAAAAGGCAAGAAATCATAGTAATGAAGGATGCCTAGGCCAAGGAATACAAAGGTACACAAGAATGAGAAAACAAGCCAAGATCAAAGGGATACAGAGAGTCAGAACAGTCAAAATACAAAACCAGGTCAGCAACAGGAAAAACAGAATAACAATAAACGCACTCTTGGGCTAACAAGAACCACAACAGGGCAATGATTCCCAGCAAGGGGGGAACTTATATTTGACTAGAAAGAATACTATTGGACACTACCATCACCCTGCTCCAGGACACACAAAAGGGTGTGACCTATGCAGAGCAGGTGAAAACGTCTAATAAATATGACATCACTAAAAGGTGAGTATAAAGTGTAATACCCACAGGGTCCTGTGATTTCAAAGGACACCTGTACATGGCGTGAGGTTGCAATGGAAATCCGGCAACCTCGCAGATAGTGCAAAGACGCATGATCTCCAAGCTGGAGGTATCCTGGAATGCGGCATTTACCCCAGTGTGATCAGCGTGGGACCGGGATCTTCGTGGCTGCCGCGCGGCACCTGCAGTCGGAGGTATGACACATGCAGCCCAGGTAGCGCAAAATTAGAGCTGACTGATAGCTCTACACCAGGCTTGCCCAATAGGTAGATCCTGAAATGATGCAGGAATACAACTCTGGTGATGCTTTGCATGTCTTTAGAATGCATTTAGAATGACAAGGCATCATTGGAGTAGATCATTGGATGTAGTTCTACAACATCTAGTGATCTACCTATTGGGCAACCATGCTCTACACACTGGAAGTGTATCTCTATTAATATCTTCAATCAACATTACACATACTACAGTATATACCCCATTTCTGTTCCTTTCTTTTGTTCATCCTAGCCCCAGGACACAATTACAAATATCTCAAGCTGAAACACTGCACAGACATTCTCATACCACCATGACCACTTAAAATAACTGAAGTGGTCATTGTGGATGGAGCAACCCTTTAAGCTAACATTATTTTGGTGCTTAGAGTGTCCATTTAAGTTGTTCCACTCTTTATCCATCATAGTTAATGCTACAAAAAGTTATTACAAAAGTAGTCACAATTTGCTCTCTGTTTATTGTTACTTCTACTATGTTACTGTCCATCCCTTATTCAACATATAATCAAATAAAATAAATGTGGCATTCATCGCAGAGCCAAGCAAAAATCAGTTGAGCGTTGTTGATAAAAAAAACAAAAAACAACATGTCTTTATTTACCCCTTTTAGGGGATTTCAACACCGGTGTCCTATAAAGTTGGACTCCAGTGGATAGGTTAAAAAGAGGGAGGAATGCTTCATTGGTGCCTCTGAAAGGAGGTGGAAGACAACTAGGCTGCCTGCCAATCAAAAAGACAGGCCCAGCGTTGGCAGGCCATGCACGGAGCTCTGCTTCAACCATTCTCTCCATGGTCCTAGTACCCTGAGTGTTTCATGAGTATGGCTTATGATGCACTTGTACTATGACTTTTGGGGAAAGTCCTGGTAGCGGGTCAGGACCCTAACATAGAGACTGTCTCACCATAATCATGACTGTTGGGAGGCCTTGGATTGAAAAACATGTTCCTCCCGCACCACCACCTGTTCCCTCGATCCTATTCCCTCAGATCTCATCCGCAATCTGTCTCCTTCTCTTGCTCTTTCTCTCATTAAAATGTTCAATCTCTCCCTTTCCTTCTGCACATTTCCTTCACCCTTCAAGCATGCAACCATAACGCCATTTCTGAAAAAGCCCAACCTTGATCCCAACTCCCCATCCAACTACCACCCTATATCGCTAATGCCATTTGCCTCCAAGATTCTTGAGAGAGTTGTGTATGCAAGATTGACAGACTTCCTCGAATCCAAATCTCTGCTTGACCCGCTTCAGTCTGGATACCGTGCTCGTCACTCTGTTGAAACAGCTGTGACCAAAGTATCCAAATTATCCGCTGCTAAATCTCATGGCCATTACTCTATCCTAATTCCTTGATCTTTCTGCTGCCATTGACACTGTTTATCATCATCAACAGCTTCTTTTCATTCTTAGAGATACTGCTCTCCTGGTGCTCCTCCTACCTCTCCCAGCGCTTTTTCAATGTTTCTTTATCTGGCTCTATCCTTCTCCCCAACCCTCTTTGTTGGTGTTCCCCAAGGTTCTGTGCTTGGTCCCCTACTGTTCTCCATCTATACTGCCTCCCTTGGTAAACTCAGCAGCTTCTTTGGTTTCCATAGACACGCAAATCTACCTGTCCTCTCCTAATCTCTCTCCGTCTGTCTTGACTCGTGTCTCTGACTGCCTCTCCGCGATTTACAACTGGATGGCTGCTCACTTCCTTAAACTCAACCTGTCCAAAACAGAGCTTCTGGTCTTTCCTCCCTCAGGTGTTGCTACTCACGTGTCTGTCTCCCTCCCAAGTCACCATCACCTTTACTTCTCAGGCTCACTGCCTAGGTCTTCTCTTTGACTCCGACCTTTCCTTCAATCCTCATGTCCAGTCGATCGCCAAATTCTGCCGCTTCCATCCAAAAACATAGCTCACATCCGCCCCTATTTAATACCAGACGCGACTAAGGTGCCGGTCCATGCCGTTGTTCTTTCTTGCCTTGACTACTGCAATCCCCTTCTCAGTGGTCTTACGTGTTCCCAGATTGCAATCTATAATGAATGCGGCAGGGAGGCTCATTTTCCTGTCTGTCCACACCTCCCCTTCTGTCAGTCCCTACATTGTCTTCCAGTTAGATATAGGGCTCAATTTAAGATTCTGGTACTTGCTTACAAGTCTCTGAATAATGCTGATCCAACCTACCTATCCTCCCTAATACACAAGTATGTCCCATTGAGGCCCCTGCACTCTGCCGAAGACCCACGTCTATCCTCTGTCCGTACTACTACATCTGATGCTCGCCTCCAAGAATTCTCCAGGGCTGCACCTTTTCTGTGGAACTCCCTTACCTTCTCTGTTAGACTGTCACCCAGTCTCAACTCCTTCAAAAAATATTTGAAAACACACTTCTTCAAGAAAGCATATAATTTAAACTGTTAGCGGATTTTCTTTCCCCCCCCTCACCCTCCGCATCCCCCTATGACTCCTCTCCTGCAACTGTCAAAAATATTACAAAAAGTTCTCAGTGAATACTTTTCTAGCAACCTATTTCATTACCCCTACCTTTTGTGTCACTATACCCCACTTCCTCCTTCACGTAAGCTCATTGAGCAGGGCCCTCAATCCCTCTGTTCCATTGCGTCCATTTGTCTGGTTACAATTATGTGTCTGTTAGACCACCCATTGTACAGCGCTACGGAATTTGCTGGTGCTATATAAATTATAAAATAATAAATAATAAAAACTATATTTGAATGTACAGGGATTAAATTGATAGGAATAGTACTACGTAACACACCTTATAATAACGCAGAGAGAGGCAACGCAGAGAGAGGAGTCTGAAGAAGAGGAGTCAGAGGAGGAAGGTGGCTTTGAGGAGGTGGAAGACCAAACACAGCAGGCGTCCCAGGGGGCTTGTTGTCACCTTTTGGGGACCCTTGGTGTTGTACGTGGCTGGGTGGAGGAAGAGGCCTTCAATGACATCAGTGAGGACAAGGAACGGGACATGGCTAGCTTGGTATCCAACCTTGTGCAAATGGAGAGTTTGCGGTTGTGCAAATGGACTGTTTGCGGTTGTTTGCTGTGCATTAAACGGGGAGTTTGGTCTGTCACTGTGAAGCGGGCGTAACCCTTACACTACCTGATCGATACAACATCATACCTGATGTTTTAAAGCACGTTATTCCAAATAATTTAGGAATGTTAGGTGATTTATGCCCTTTATGGATTAAAACCAGACTGCATCAACTATGTAATTTTCCATGGGAGTTTTGCCATGGATCCCCCTCCGGCATGCCACAGTCCAGGTGTTAGTCCCCTTGAAACAACTTTTCCATCACTATTGTGGCCAGAAAGAGTCCCTGTGAGTTTTAAAATCCGCCTGCCTATTGAAGTCTATGGCGGTTCGCCCGGTTTGCGAACATTTGCGGAAGTTCGCGTTTGCGAACCGAAAATTTTATGTTCGCGACATCACTAGTGAGGAGTATTCCTCTTTAAAGACTCTTTTATATTTAATTAATTTAAAAAAACAGCTGTCAATCAGTGTTTCCTTCCTCTACCCTGAACTAGTAGAAATGGTAGCTGCGCTCAACTTGAGTGCGCTTGCCTCTTCTCGCACACCTCCTTTTCAGACCAGCATTGCGCATGCACACGGAAGGAAGCTGCAAGGCGTCTCAGTGAGTCTCATAGTCTATTTTGCTGTAAAGAGACTGGGAGGGCTTGCAAAGGCTGCAGTAAAAAGAACTGCAGCTTTTGGAAGCTGTTTTAAGATATATCTCCAATGAATACATGCATGAAAAATGCATGCATGTATTAATTGGGGGTATATTTACAAAAAAGGGATTTGTATTTTTTATTTTTTTTATTTGGGTAGTGGAATGTCCCTTTAAGAATGCTCACAGTTGAGATGGGGTTAAGTTATAATATTATTATTATTATTATTACTATTTTATTATTTATATAGCGCCATCAAATTTCGTAGAGTGTACAATATGACTCTCTCTCAAGTATAGGTCTGTAATTCCAAAAAATGTATTACTTTGTTTCTTTTTTTTCTGAATCTACTGAGACCTAGTACACTAAATACATTTTCCAAATAAATAGATTAATTTAATACCTACATTTGTATCGAAAGTTCTTACAAACTATTTAGCCTTGCCCGCTTACAAACTATTTAGCTGTACTCAACCAAAATACAAAATAATGGTTTTATACAACAATGGTAATAATCCAGTGATTAGTATTTACTTATTTGATTGAGAAACGGGTAACTTACTGTAAAAGTTATCAGCGCACAATCTAACAGTGGAATAAGTTAATCGTACAAGCAATTCTTGCACATCTGGTGGTGATACGGTTCATCCACCCTGCTTTAATGCTAGTCATTTAAAAAGTGGTTTGTTCATAAAATCACAAGCACATGTGCCAATAAAAGAAGGTTATAAAACAAGTACTTTAAGAAAAAGACTGTACTCAATTAAGCAGTTGTGCCTGTACGCAAAAATGGAAATTAAATTGTAGCATTATAGATTCTAAAAAAGAACACATTATTTCTCATGTTTGATGCTGTGTTACTGCTTCAGGTAGGGCTGTGCAAGAAGAAAATTTGTTATCTTTGTGCGAATTGCTTCAAATTAAGGTTTGTGTGTTACTCACACTCTCATGAAATTGGAAGTAGAGGACAACTTTTTTTGCAAAAGAGTTAAAAAATATATTATAAATTAATTTTAAAAATCTCTTTTTAACTCTACTATGGAACACCATGTGCAAAGGGTCCCTTTAAGGGGTTAAGAAACAAATATATACAGGGCCGTCTGTACGTATGCTGTAGGTGAAGTGTATGTCTGGGCAACCTGATGGACCCTCACACAGGTTCCCCTTGAACTCCTGGAGGATTTCGGCACTTTCCCTTCTCACAAATGTAACCAAACGCTAGCTCCCTGGCGGCCATTTGCATGAATCAAACCCACAAATGGTCCTCACTGGTACTTCGCTCTTACCGCTATGGAACTAATTTCGGCATGAGTAATTCATGGGTCTCTGGTGACTTAAGCGGGACTTAGCCGCGAATGATATGGAACTGTTTTCGGCATGAGGTGACTGTACAGTTCCCAGACAACTTGGTCTGGGGTTTTGAACCACTTTGCAACCCGCCAGGAGAGCACTTTATGAAGGGAATGTGCCGGAGACTAAGGGGAACAAACGCTACCTGACAGCCAGACAGAGCACCCCGTATTTCAGACTCAGAAGCTCCCTAAAGTTGACTAGCAAAAGCACCAAATGCCCCGGAACTATTTTGGACATAGGACCACGTGTGCGGCCGGTCAGAACTTTGCCCTGATACTGTTACCCCTGTACTGCATGGATCTAAGGGCTATTTGGGCAACTTGGGCATTCAGATCAGGGCTATTTGGGGCTGTATTATTTGTGGGATTATTGTATGTTTTTATTATGTTTTGGGGTACTTTTATGTTTTTATATTTTTGTGTTGGGCTCTCTGCTCCTGGGAGATAATTAGCTTACCGGTCTTTAACGCAATTATCTCCAGGCTCAGAGATGCTGGGGTCTGTGCATAAAAGGCCAGGTTTGGCTCATTTAAATCAGTTGTACTCCCAGAACTATGTGTCGTCTTGTTACTGGGAGGGGAAAGGGCTATTAATAACTCAGCACAGTGTTCCAGCTCATGGAGGATTTGGCTGGAAAAGTCCTTGTAAGGACTGGAGCTCACAGGACTGTGTGTCCAGTCCCTGGGAGGGAATAGAGCTAGTCCCCTATCCTGTTCCAGGACGGAGAGGCTCCAGGAGGACCCCATTAAAACCACAGCAACTGGGGCAGAAGCGCTGAGGTATTCCGCGGTTCCAGCTGCAAAGTGATCCATGTTGGAGGTACAGGGAGCTTGTTACAATACATATATATATATATATATATATACAACCCAGAATTAATATGTATTTTATTGGAATTTTCTTATATGATCTGTACAACATACATAACACTGATGGTGCAAAGTATTTTCACTGTGACACAAAAATCAATTCATTTAAATTCACAGAAAACAGAAATCTGTTGCATAAATATTCATCAACGTTGCTATAAAAACCCTCCCATACGGTGCAACCATTTGCCTTTCTCATTGAAATAATTAGTGAAATGTGTGTGTGTTTTTTTTTGCCAACAAATAATCTGAATAAATGGGATGTATACACTTATGGAACAAATTACCGGGGAGGGGGCTTGGTGCCCTTGCCTCAGAGAACTCCAGTTTTAATCAAGCTGCTTGAAAACCGTTTTACCAAGAACACGAGTATGGCTTCAACAGTCTAATAGCACAATACCTTCACACTGGCATATGTAGTATTGATACCTAGGCTGCCCCGTTATGGGGCTTGGGATGGTTACAAGTCCAGTATAACAGCTTGTCTGTTGCAGTGAGTTTTCTACAGATGTTTCTCTTTGCAATTCCTTTGACAGTTTTAGAGATCATACTACCTAAAAATTATTGAATCAGTTTGCACTTTTTAATGTAATCTAAGATTGAAAATGATAATATTTAGAATGAAATAAAAGTTTAACAGTCACTTGTCTAAACTATTAACATATCAGCAATATAATTATTTAATATGCAATTCATAGCATCATGTTTCTTCTACCAATCCAGATATAGCTTGGTGTAAAAGGTTCACAACAGGTGCTCATTGCTGTACCACAAACCTCATGCTAGACCCTGGTAGTGAACACAAATATATTGTTTCGGATAAATATTTGTATATTCTACAACTTCTCTCTATTTTATGTAATATTCTGTATATTCAACACTAGTTTCATGTAGGATACTAAGATTCAACACTCAGACTGCAGATTAATACATAGACAACAATAGCTTGAGAGTTTAATAATTTCACCGTTTGTTTGGTATGAAGGAAGCGATTTGGCAGGTATTCTCAAAATGTTATCTGTGTAGCTCATGCTGTTATTATCAGATATGATCGGTCTCCCAGGCAAGTCATGAGTGTGCTTATGAACCT